ATATACAGAAATCTGTTGTGTTTCAACATACTAATAACGAAGCAGCAGAAAAACTAAGAAAATAATCCCATTTACAATTACATAAAAAAAATACCTAGGGATAAATTTAACCAAGGAGATAAAAAACCTATACTCTAAAAACTGTAAGACACTAATGAAAGAAATTGAAGAGGACACAACACATGGAAAGATACTCCATGATCATGGATTGGAAGAACCAATACTGTTAAAACGTCTATATTACCCAAAGCAATCTACAGGTTCCATACAATCCCTATCAAAACACCAATAATATTTTTCAGAGAACTAAAACAAAGAATTCTAAAATTTGCATGGAACCACAAAAGACCCCAAATAGCCAAGGCAATCTTAAGAAAGGAAAACAAAGCTAGAGGCATCACAATCCAGATATCAAGATATACTACAAAGCTGTAGTGATCAAGACAGTATGGTACCGGCACAAAAACAGATCAGGGGCGCCTGGGTGGCTTAGTCGGTTAAGTGCCCTACTCTTGATTTTGGCTCAGGACATAATCTCAGGGTCATGAGATCAAGTCCCCAGTTGGGCTTCACGCTGGGCATGGAGCCTCCTTAAGATTCTCTCTCTCTCTCCCTCTGCCCAACCCCCGCTTGCTCTCATGCTCTCTAAAAAAAAAAAAAACACAAAACAAAACCAGACAGATCCAGATATAGACCCAAGAAATAAACTAACCCTTATATGGTCAATTAACCTATGACAAAGGAGAAAAGCATATACAATGGGGAAGACAGGCTCTTCAATAAATGGTGTTGGAAAAACTGGACAGTTACATGCAAAAGAGTGAAAATGGACCACTTTCTTACACCATACACACAAAAATAAATTCAAAACAGATTAATGAACTAAATATGAGACATGAAGCCATAAAACTCCTAAAAGAAAACATAAGCAGTAATTTTTTGGACACTGGCCTCAGCAACATTCTTATGGATCTGTCTCCTCAGGCAAGGTAAACAAAAGCAAAAATAAACTATTGGGACTACACCAAAATAAAAAGCTTTGCATAGCAAAGGAAACCACGAACAAAATAAAAAGGCAACCAAGTGAATGTGAGAAGAGATTTGCAAATGATACATCTGATAAGGGATTAGTATCCAAAATATATAAAGAACTTACATAACTCAACACTAAAATCCAATTAAAAAATGGGCAGAGGAACAGAACAGACATTTTTTCAAAGAAGACATACAAATGGCCAACAGACCCCATGAAAAGATGCTCAGCATCACTCATCATCAAGGAAATGCACATCAAAACCACAATGAGGTATCTCCTCACACCTGTCAGAATGGCTAGTATCAAAAAGACAAGAGAAAAACCAGTGTTGGCAACGATGTGCAGAAAAGGACACCCTTGTGCACTGTTGGTGGGAATGTAATCTGCAGCAACCACTGTGGAAAACAATATGAGGTTCATCAAAAAATTAAAAACAGAAATACCATATGATCCAGCAATACCAGTACTGGGTATTTATCCAAGGAAAATGAAAACACTAATTTGAAAGGTTACATGCACCCCTATGTCTACTGCAATATTATTTACAATAGTCAAAATATGGAAGCCAACCTAAGTATCCGTCAATAGTTGAATGGATAAAGAAGAAATGGGGTGTATATATATACATACATACATACACACATATACACACACACACACACACACACAATGGAATATACTTGGTCATAAAAAAGAATGAGATCTTGCCATTAGTGACAACATGAATGGACCCAGAGGGTATAATGGTATGCGAAATATGTCAGAAAAGACAAATACCGTATCATTTCACTTACATGCAGATCTAAAAAACAAAATGAACAAAAAACAGAAACAGGTTCATAAATATAGAAAACAAACTGGTAGAGGAGATGGAGTTGAAGGAATGGGTGATATAGGTGGAGGGGATTAAGAGGTACAAACTTCCAGTTACAAAATAAATCAGACACAGAAATAAAAAGTGGAGCATAGAGAATACTGTCAATATTGTAACAACACTGTATGGTGACAGATGGTAACTATATTTATCTTGATAAGCATTTCATAATGTATATTAACTGTCAAATCACTATGCTATACACCTGAAACTAATATAACACTGTATGTCAACTATACTTAAATAATACAAAAAATTTTAATTCATGCCTTCAGTTCATATATCTTGTTTCAATTTTCATCAGCCACTGTATCTCTAAAGGAAGGAAATGCAGGCTCTACAGCAGCACTTGAAAAACCAAAGTTTTGGTACTTACCACATTAAAGTTGATATGAGCAGACCAACGCCTACACAATCTATGAATACAACCCAAAGGAGCAGCTTTATCGTCTCAAAAAATCCCATGTCCAGAACAAAGCCAAATCCTATAGTGGACACTGAAAGAAAGATTTACATGATAAATTCAGGCACTCTGGGGATACGGGTGGGGCAAGTCACAGCCCTCCAGATGCCCACATGTGTAATGGAGGAGACAGTCATGTAAACAAAACCCCAAAGATGTGTTATATGTATACAGAATTGAGAAATGCAGACTACCCTAGAACACAGAATGGCTACTGAACTAACTGTAGCTTACTGTAGAGGCCCCCATCTGTGGTTCCCCAGGGTAGTCCCAACATTTAAAAGACCACTAATTCTGAACAGGCACCCACATATTTAAGTCCAGGTAAAGATGAAAAAAATATTACACATTTACACCCTAGGGTGTTTAGGACTCTCTCACTACATTACTGGAGAACTTAAAAGTAGTTTCTCAAGTTCACATTGGTACTTTTAGAACTCACTCTAGATTTGCCTGTGAAATGCAATTTCCCATCTTGATATTCCTTTTCACAGTAAGTTTGCATTTGGTATCATAGCAGTTAAAAGACACGGAGTGACTCTGTCCTCTGCTTTTCAAAATCCCGAGGGAACAATTTACTCTGGCATCTGCTTGGGACCTTTAGAACCAGAAAGAATACAACATTCTTTCCTGTGAGATTTTTGAGGCTTCAGAAAGGAAGGAACAGCTTCAAATATCTCAAATTCTGACCCATGATATGCTTATAACAAAAGATTCTGCAAATGACAAGTACAATCTAAAACACTCAGTTTGGGGGTGCCTGGGAGGCTCAGTCGGTGAGGCGTCTGCCGTGGGGCTCGGGGTCCTGGGATCAAGCCCAGCATGGGGCTCCCTGCTCAGCAGCAAGCCTGCTTCTCCTTCTCCCTCTGCCCCTCCCCCTGCTTGTGCTCGCTCGTGCTCACTGGCTCTCTCTCTCTCACATAAATAAATAAAATCTTTAAAAAAAAAGCCACTCAGTTTGTTCTTCAACTCTACTGTAGATAAAGTAACACTTACCACAGAGCCAAATACTTAACAGGACCAAGAAAGCAGGGTCATCTCTGGCCCACTGATCCTTTGTCTGCTTTCTATAATGAAAATTTCTATAAACTCTCTGTGGGGAAGTAAATAGGTAGAGCATCTGCCATGCAGCAAATTCAAAGTCCATCTGCCGAAAACGAAAAAGTCTTCTCAGGTATTTGTAGCGTTTTGCTCCAGCTGTGTGTCTTGCTGCATCCCTGGAGTTCAACGCTCCGTTCCCCTGCACTGGAGAATTCACTGAAATACTTGGTAACATCTTCCTAGATGGAAGAAAAAAATTCTTTTAAAAGTAATCTTAGGAAACTATTGGCTGCCAACAACCTCTTCTGAGATATTTAGGAGGGATGTCATCTTAACAGTTCTTCCACAATCCTTGATAAGAGTCAGGGGTCAAAAGCTAATGGAGGTGGTTCTGAGGCTTATTTCGGAGCTCAAGAACTGCCCACTGCAACTTCAGGCAAGGGCAGCACCACACCCTTCTGAACCTTCATAACCTTCTATAGGGTCCATAAATTTCCCAAACTTCACTTGTCTCCTTAGGCAGCCCACCCAAGTAGCTACTGTTAACCAGGAGGGAGGGAGGAGGCAGGAAGGACAAGAGGGAGGGAAGTAGAGAGTGAGAGAGAGAGAGGGAAAGGGGGGGGGGAGAGAAAGAGAAAGAAAAGCACTAGGAGGTAAACTGACCCCCTCATGAGCTCAGAGATGGCTATGGAGCCAAAAGCCCCTGCTCTTAACCATCAAGTCTTCAAGGGAATCGGTTTTAAAAGCCTATTAGCAACAATGTTACCAATGAAGTAAAATAAATGGCCTATTCACACAGGTCCATCAGTGCAAGACCATCAAGCAACTCTTTCACTGGAATGGGATATAAAAACAAAACTCAAGACCATAGTGCTTTACTCCCTGAATAGTTCAGCAGAGGAAATGGCAGCATGGGAGTCCGGTGGAATCAATCTGAAGCCCCGTTGAGAGCAGGTCACCGTCCAGCCCTCACGAACAGCCCACTTCCCCGCCCCACACCTTCCACCTCCAAGGCCTCCCTGACGCCAATCAGCGCCTCTCCGAGTCCAGAGGCTCCCGGTCAGCCCCGGGCTGCGGGTAAGGTTGCCATATTTAGCAAATAAAAACACCGGTAGCCCAGTTACATTCGAATCTCCGATACAGGTATAACTTTTCGTATAAGCATGTCCGAAACATTGTGTCGGACATACACTAAAACGTCCGTGGTTTACGTGAAATTCAAGTGAAAAAAAAACTGGGCATCTTGATTTATATGGCAACCCTACCGCCCGCCGAGCAGCCGGACCCAGCTATGGTCACTCCAGGGCCGTGGGCTGTCGGGCCGTGAGGTGCCGGAGGAAAAGGCGCAGGGCGAGCCCGAGCCGCGAACGGACGGAGCGGTCCTCAAGTCTCACCTGGAGCCCCGCTGCGGCCTCCAAGGGGTCCAAGCTAGCGCGCCACCTCCCCCTAGCAGCCAAGCCTAGCAGCCGCGGGGCCCACTACCCTTCCCGCAACGTAGCCGGCGCTGTGGGCGCGACGCGTCACGTGCGCCCACTTCCGCCGCGCGCGCGGCCTTTCGGGCCCCGTAGTTTTCCGGGGGCCAGCCGGAAGTTGTTGCTGCGGGGTTCCGATTCCTGCCATCCGCGCGTGTCGCTTGCGCCCCAGCAGGGTTGCAGCCGTTGTGCACGGAAGCGGGTCTCGGCCGCTCGTCGGGAGGCGCAGTCATGCCCCGTTATTACGAGGACAAGCCGGAGGGCGGCGCGTGCGCGGGCGTGAAGGAGGACCTGGGCGCATGTCTGCTGCAGTCGGACTGTGTGCTCCAGGTAGCGCGGCTGGGCGCCCGGGGTAATGAGACGCCGGAACCGGGGAGGCAGGGCCCGGCGGACTTCTCCCGCCCAGCCTACGGTGGCTGTCAGGAGACGTGACTCATTTTAATGAACTTGGGCAAATCAGCTGTCGGAGTTTCAGCTCCCTCCAGTGTTAAATTGGGGATAACGAAACCTCCCCTTTGGGTTTTTGTAAAGATAAACCATTTCGATTCAAGAAACCTTTATTAAATGTTGCCTGCTACTCTGCTAGGTTCTGGAGCTATAAAGGAGAATAAGGCCGGTTTCTTGCGTGCTAGAAAATGTGACTCTAAATTACCAGAGAATTACATAAACCTGGAACACTGTATTGACTAGTAGTCTCTCCTTTTTCCGTTCAGTTGTGGCTGAATATATACTCTATTTACTTTCTCTTCGTTTGAATTTGTTTCTGAGTCGGAGTTGTATACATTCTTGGATAAGTTGTAAACGTAGCAGCTCCATTTTTTCCCCCCACTGTTTTGTCTCTTGCTTGCACTATACTCTCCCCTCACTACAACCACGTCTTCTCAATCTGAGTGCAGAGTGGCAAGCAGTAAGGTCCAAAGCTGACTGGGGACCTGGATTCTAGCTTAGCGCCCAACTGAAACGCCAAGTGCCTTTTCCAATTACAGAAGCCTGATGAGGGGGCAGTTGTGTGCAATTATTTTTTGCATTTGGAGATGTAATTTCAGAAGTTTGCTCTTATTTCAAAGGAAAGACAACTAGCCCAAAATGGACATCATCGCAGTGCTTTATCAGTGTTTCTACTGATTCGTTTGGTTCACGGATTGTAGCAGTCAGCCAGACTGGCCGCCCCGTTTGTCATAAAACTTGAGTTGTTATGAATTTAAGAGGTTCTCTAGTCCCTCTCTCACACAGATGAGGAAACTGAGGTGCCTTGTCTTCACGCCTCCCTGTGCAGGGCTGTTTCCAATCTGCTGCTTCACTGGTGCAAGTATTCAGTCAGCTCTTAGTAATGCCTGGGAAGTGGCAGGCATGATGCTAGGCCTTGGTGATACTAAGATGAGTTGGTTACAGTCACTATCCTACATGAGCTCAGTCTGATGGGAAGGACAGACATGTAAGGGGCTAAATTCCCACAGTACGGGTTGTGTAAGCATTTAGTAAATATATGTTTGATGATTAGATTTAGGCACAAAATGCTGTGGGAGCCCAGTGGAGAGCAACTTTTTTGCTTGGGAATTTGGAAACTTCTCACAGAGGAGGTGACATTTGATCTGAGTCTTAAAGGTTGAGGAGTAGGTTATCAAGTAAGAGTGGAGAATGTGGTGGTTGAGGGGAGAAGCTCAAGAACAAGAACAACATGGGCAAGTCAGGGAGATGTGACCAGGAGGAGCTAGTGCCCTGTTGGGCCAGGGGGATAGGGAATATGACAGAAGGCTTGAGAAGAAGGTTGTCATGTGTAAAGGCCCTTGTGTGTTAGAGTGGGGGCCCCGGATTTATCCTGACATTCAGCATCAGGAAGGCCATGGAGATGAGCAATCAAGAGAATAAAGTACACAGTGTGACTGAGGAAAGAAATCTAGAAATGGAGGAGGATACTGAGGGCAAGAAGGATACCAAGTTTCTTTTTTGTAATGATTTAATTAGCAAACATTTTAAGTGCCAAGCTCTAATTCGGGACACACAGATGATTGGGATACATTCTCTCCTGCATGGAAATTAGATCTCTGGAAAGCTAGAAAACTAGGCAAGATAATGACCAGGACACACAGCACAGACTTTGCTTTACCCAGTTGAATGTGTGGCCTTATTGATGTTGGTCATTTAGGAGAACATGATATTTATAAAATACGATATAAAATATAAATATATATTTAAAAATATATATATTATATATAAAATATAAATATAAAAAGTACCTTAAATGGGAGTGTTTACAGTTTGTGTTAAATTCACCCTGACTTCAGGTGGAGTATAAAAGGGCAGTACTGAGGCAAAACATTGAGTTTTGCAGATCCAGGACAATATCCTATCTTCTCAGACGGTGTCACTGGCAGCCTACCACTCCCCTCCTAGGGACTCTGAAGACCAAGGGACATTCTGCTGAGGTCCGTGCCCTGTATGGCCACTTCATTTATCTAAGATTTAGCTCCTTGTAAAAAGAAGTTAATCTGATCTTTTGGCAGATGGATGCCGTTGTCTCTCCTTGCCAATCTTTAACCCACCGGAAAAGCTGCCTGACCTCACTCTAGGGAGGAATTCAAAATAGGTGCTGCAATGGAAGATAGTCAAGGAAGTGTAGGGCCTTGGAGAAGCTCAGGGTAATGATGATAAGGATGTCTACCCCAGTGGGGCTCGAGAGAAGCAAGGAACAAGCAGATTCAAAAGGCAACTCTTGGATAGACTTCTTAGGATTTTATGACTCCTGGAGGATCAAAAAGATTGAAACTGTGCCCAAGAAACCTCAATCACAGGTTATCTCCTTTTGCCTCCATTAGTAAGCTCCCAGATCTTCTGACTTCATCAGAATTACCTGGAGATGGGGGCAGAGAGCTTAAAAGTATAGATTTCAGCACCCCCGCCCCCAAAAAGGTATCCCATTTTGATTCTTGGACACAGCCATGTTTGGGAATCGCTAATCTTGACCTCAGAAGGCAAATAAGCCTGGGAGTGTATTGGTTGGGATATAGGTTCAGGTACATATTACAGAAACCCACAATAACATTGCCTTAAACAAGATAGAAAATTCTCTCTTTTGCTGTGTGTGTGCTTATAAGTAGGGCCTGGACAGCTCCTCTCAGCCTTCCATAGACCCAGACACTGTTGATCTTGTGGTTTTAGGTGCTGTGATGGGAGATAAGATTGCCTAAGACATCATGGTGTGAAGTGAGGAAGGAAGACAGCCACTTGCCTTTAAGGACCAACCCAGAAGTCTTACATTTCAGTTCCTCACATATTCCATTGGCTGGAACTTAGTCACATGACCACACCTAGTTGCGAGGGTGTCTGGGAAATCTAGCCCAGCCATATGCCCCACTAGAAAGGAAGAGTTAAAGGTTAAGGGACAGCTAGCAGTCTGCCATTTGGCATGGAGGTGAAGGAGGATGAATTAACCTATCGCTCTTAGATTTGGTGTATGTAGCTGGATCTTCCCATAGGCAGGTGGCAGTATGGCGTGAAAACTTACAAAAAAGATGGCATCTTAGATACAGTTGGGGGAAGCATCACTTTATAGTTCTAGTCTTTTGTATAGTTTTATTTACTCTCATCTGCCCTCACATCGTTCATGTGGGCAACACACATCCCATCAGCAACATCTCATGACAGAGTTTTGGGGAAGAACATAGTGCGAGGAAGCTTGCTACTCTGTTCTGATTCACTTTTGAGATTCACTTTAATGGTAGGTGACCATTAAAATCAAGAGCCTAAGCAGACAGACTAGAAAGTGGCAAGATTCCAGAGGCTCAGGAATGCCACAGCTGTGGTACCCTGGGGTGTTTTTCACAGGTAAAAACTAGAAGCGTGACTGGCACTTGCAAAATAAAGGTTTGGAGGAGTGGGTGCAGTGGTGGGGTTGAGGTGTCAGAATCTGCTTGAAGGGAAATCCCTGCTGATGAAAAGCAGGTGAAATTGGGGTTACATTTTTCCTGGTGCATGAACGCACCAGATGTTTCTCTTTAAGTAGCAAGTATTCTAGGTTCCTTATTAACATCTGGTGTTCAGTACCACACTAAAAATGTTCTGAGTTTAGGGCACCTAATTCTGGCTGGTGAGCTTTTAAAATTAACACTGAACAGGGTCATTTTTATTTTCAGACAAAATTGCTTGACCCATTTTACACTGAAACTCACCTTGAGTAGGAAGGCTTCATCATTTTCATTTATACTGCCAAGCACTTTTGGTTTTATTTCTTTAATGAAAATAATGTTATGGTTTTGATTCTTTTTCCTTCACAAATTGCATATCACAGTTTGATCTCATTAAACCTCCGGTAATTCAGAACACTTAACTTCAGACTACTTTTTCCAGATGTTGTTTTATATATTTGCATTCCTGGGAACCAGACCCCTTTAGCACCTGTCCCTGTCTCTCCCTCCCCGCCCCCCCAGCACTCCTCTCTGCTTTGTGATGTGCCCACACTGCCAAGCAGCATTTGTACACATACACCTTCTTTGCTACCTGGTTTTAAAAGCCTGGTCTAGGCAGGAAAAAATAACAATAAAAAAAAATAAAGCCCTGTCTAGGCAGGAGTATCTAAGATTTATTTTTTTTAACCTCCCTTTAACTGATCTAGGACCATTCTGAGTTTTGTTTTTGTTTTTTTAAATAAGTTAGTCCTTGAGGGTTTAGTGAATAGGCAACTTAGCAGGATAGGGCATCCAAAAAGAAATTTTGCTGCAATTCAATTTTAATTTTGCCTTTCTGAATTGTGGAGTATATTATTTGTAGATGCTTCCATGTTTCAACATACTGCTGTTGTGTTAACGTTATATATTCAGCAGTGTATTTCTTCAAAATATTTTAAGATCATGATGAGGTAGTATTAAAATTTTTATTCCATATTTACCTTGAAAACAGTAACTAAATTTTAGCTCTTACCTAGTTTTGCCGTTGTTACTTTGTCAAGTCTAATTTTTAAGTTACAGTTTAAAAGTCTTATTATTTAAGAATCAGAAATAAGCATTTCTCCTGTGAGTATTCTTGTAGCAGTGTCCTCCCTTAACAGCAGAAAGGGAATGGCTTAGTCCACTTTTCTTCTTAACCTCCTTTTGAACTTTCATTGCTTAAAGAGGAGTTCATTCCACATCAGGCCCAGGCAGATCTTCTCTCGCAAATATATGTTAAGTTCTGGTCACATCTCCCTTTCCTCTTCCAGTTCCACTCGGTTGTGCTTCTCAGACTAGAGAACTTGACTACTGGGGGGTGTTGGGGTGGGAAAGTGCAGAGATGTGTTGGAGGTAAAATGGCTTGCATTAAAAGGATATAACTGGAGGCTTTTTAAAGCCACTTGATAGGACCTTCCAGAACAAACCGTCCTGTTTCCCACTGCAGCAGGCCTGATTTCTCATGTGTACACATATACGCGTACACATATACACATACTCTCTCTCCTTCTCTCACACACACACTACTTTCTTCTGTCTTGAGGAATTCTGAAGTATAAAAAAATTTAAAACCACTGAAGAAATCCCATTACTACTTTCACCTTTACTCTTTCTCTTTCTTACCCATAAGGAGCTAAAAATACCGGTTTCAAGATTTTTGTATAAACATTTTAAAGAAAAGTATCCCATGGACACTAGTGTTTTTAAGAACTCAAGGGTACCTTTTAAAGTGCTCCAGAATTACTTGATACATCTTTTTATTCTATCCTGTTCTCCCTAATCATCAATAGTCAAAATGAATTACAAAATATTTTCTCATCTAATTTACTTTTTAAATTTTTTTTTCCCAACAAGCACTGCTTTCAAAAGGATAGTGATTTTGTGCTTTGTGAGGAAATCTGCCAAGTATTTACACTGTTTTCTGTGTCCTAGGAAGGAAAATCCCCTCGACAGTGTCTGAAGGAAGGAAACTGCAAAGCTCTGAAATACTCATTTTTTGAATGTAAAAGATCAATGGTAAGAGGTTAAAACTTTTGAAAAGCTTATGCTAAAAATTAGCTAACTAAATATGGAATGACCTAATAATTACAGATAGGTTGCAGTGAGATCATTCAGAAAAAAAGGTTTTAGATAATATTATTTACCTATTACTTATACTTTGACACTGGACAGAGCCGTCTAGGGAACTTCTGAGCAGATTAATAGATTCTTACAGCCTTTGTCCAAGACTCATTCGCTGTTAAGTCCTCCAAGGTGCAAATTTGCCTTATTTACTGACTTTAAAACCCTCCACCTCACCACCCTTAAAAGAGGCTGCACCGTGAGGTTTAAGTCAAAGAACATGCAGTCATCTATGAGTAGGTACTTTAAAGATTATTAGTTACCAGATAGCTCAGTGTTATTTAATATTTAAAGATTTCAAATACATTTGAATATTAACCCAAACAAAACTTAATTAAAAAGTTAAGTTTGCTAGAACAACACATATTGAGTGTAGTTCAGAGAAAAAAATAAATGTAACTTGGATTCTACTTGAGAAGAAAATCCTTACTGGGACCTTAAATGGAACTTTTCTTTTTAATGCCATCTTTTTTATTTTTTTTCTTGATAGCACTGACGTTTGCCTTTTTGACTGTACTGGAAACTGGTTTACTTCTGTCATGTAGTGAGACCTTTACCAAAGCTGTGTTTAATTATGTTGTACAAAATTGATTTAATTGTACATTTATTTTCAGTTGGATGCCAGATCCAGATTCCGAGGAAGAAAAGGGTATTGAACCTAGTATGCTGAAACCACAGTGAAAACAACAGGGTTTCTCTGGTCACTTACAACAGAGAAGCCCAAATAGGAGACAGACTTTTTGCTACATCTGGTGGGATGGGCCAGTTTTCCCCTCCATGAACACTGGAGAAAATGGATGAGTTCTGTTTTTGGATATGTATAAACTAAATGATTTCTCTTGCTCTAAGTTACTTTTGGAAGAAAAATTTAACTGAACATCTATGAGCTGGGAGCATCATACTGTGTTTTGAGAATTGTTAGAAAGCTCAAAAAGTGAAAAGATTGTTATTTTCCAACTTGACTCTGCAACCAAATGACACAGTTTGTACATCCTTTGTGAATATTATGAAGGCCACTGATGGGACTGAAAATTGATAACATGCAGTCGGGGGAGAAAACGTCTATTGGGAAAGTTTAGCAGGAGGGGAAGAATGAAGGGGGGGAAATTGGAGGGGGAGACCAACCATGAGAGACGATGGACTCTGAGAAACAAACAGGGTTCTAGAGGGGAGGGGGGTGGGGGGGTGGGTTAGCCTGGTGATGGGTATTAAAAGGGCACGTACTGAACGGAGCACTGGGTGTTATGCACAAACAAGGAATCATGGAACACTACATCCAAAACTAATGATGTAATGTATGGTGATTAACATAACAATAAAAAAATTAAAAAAAAAAAGCTTTCTTTTAGTCAATCTGTGCTCTTTAGTTCTAAAATAAATTGTGTTCGAGTCCTTGGAGAAGAAATGCTTCATTTGCACTAATTCACTAGAGTAACGACCTCACACTTTAATATTAACATCATATAATAGGCATAGGTGGATGCAATGTCTGATTTTGTTGCCGGGGCTCCTGGCCTCCATCTTGTGACTGTTTTTCTCTGTTTCTGGCTTCATTTTTGGGCTGGTCCTGTCTCTACATAAGGGGAAAGAGGCCAGGCAGCCAAAAGTACACATCCTTAAGATCTGTGATCCAAAAAGAAGAGAGCTAACCTCCTTTTCTAGGGTCCACTAATCAAATCCTACAAAAGAACTGTTATCTTCCCTGGACCACCTGCCCTTTAATTAGACCAGTCCCTGTGGGAAAAGGGAAGAGGCCCCATGATGTTGGCCAGGCTTGGGTCTTATGCACTGTAATGGGTAAACCCCAACAGAATCACATTGGATGTCTGATGGGCCTTATCCTAAAAGGAAAGGATTCAGAGCAAACTGAAACAATAGATGTTCATAGACAAAGCAGTAGTGAAAACCAGGCAATGCTTGAAAAAGTTTAGAATCACAGTACTTTTATTCTGATCACTTAATACAGGTGAGAATCAAATACGAATACAAGTTTCATCTCTCTTCAGTATTGAAGAATAATGAAGAAGCGATGCTTCTTCATACAGCCATGGTTCTTTGGAGTTCAAGCGGTTCGAGGTGTTCTGTAGCTCAACTGCTTTTTTAAAGGTTCACCTAAAGTGAGAATTGCACACCGATCCTTGTGGCAGAGTGTCACTGGGGTCTCTTGTGTGGTGTGTGTGTGTGTGTGTGTGTGTGTGTGTGTGTACGACTTCTCACTGGGAAAGGGAAAATGATGGGTTGTTTTTGTTTTTCCCCCAGTAACTCCTGTATACTTAAGTGCTCCAACTTTTACTAACTTACTAAAAGAACTTTGATAAGAAACTCTAAAATTATTTTATAGAACCCTCAGTTTTTAGCAATAGCTGTATTGAGAGCTTCATTTGGAGAAATTCACATTCCATAAGATTCACACTTAAAGCATACAGTTCAGTTTTGCTTTTTTTAGTATAGTCACAAGTTTGTGCAACCATCACCACTATCTAATTCCAGAACATTCTCAAGGGAAGCCCCATACCCATTAGCAGTTACCCCCATCCCTCCTTGCCCCTCAGTTCCCAGCAACCATTAATACACTTTGTGTGTCTATAGATTTGCACGTTAAGAACATGTCATAAAAATGGAATTATATGTGGCCTTTTGTGAATGGCTTCTTCTACTTACCGTGTTTTCAAGGTTCATCCATATGTAGCATCTGTCCATTCCTTTTTGTTGCTGAATACTAACTCCATAGTATAGATAAACCACATTTTATGTAACCATTCTTTGAATTGTTTGCACTTTTAGGCTATTAAGAGTGATGCTATGAACATTTGTGAGCAAGTTTTGCATGGATATGTTTCATTTCTCCAAGGTATATACCTAATAATGGTATAAACAACTCCAGTTTAACATTTTGATGAACTGCCAAACTTTTCCGCAGTGACTACACCATTTTACGTTCCCACCAGCAACACGAGGATTTCGATTTGTCCACATCAGCAACAGTTGTTTTTCATCTATTTGATTATAAACATTCTACTAGGTGTGACCTGCTATCTGATTGGGATTTTGACTGGCACTTCCCTAATGGCTACTGATGTTGAGCACGTTTTCATGTGCTTACTGGCCTTCTGTACATCTTTGGAGAAATGTCTATGAAAGTCCTTTGTCCATTTTTCAATTGAGTTGTCTTTTTATTATTGTGTTATAAGAAGTCTTTATGTACTGTGTATACAAGTTCCTTAAAGACAAATGATTGGCAGATATTTTCTCCCAAAGGTGATCTGTCTTCCCTCTCCTGATGCTGTCTTTTGAAGCACAATTATTTTGATGAATTCCAGTTTATCTCTTTTTCCTTTTGGTGCATCTAAGAAAACCACTGCCTAATCCAAACTTACAGAAATTTATTCCTGTTTTCATCTAAAAACTTTATAGTTTTAACTTTCATCTAGGTCTGTGATCCACTTTGAAATTTCTGATACCTTTATTAGTAACTATATATTTTAATTTTTATTTGTGGTAAAATACACATAATGTAAAGCATACAATCTTAAGCATTTTTAAGTATATAGTTCAGTAGTGTTAAGTACATTCACCTTGTTAACGCAGCCAATCTCCGGAGCTCATTCATCTTGCAAAACTGAAACTATACACCCATTAAACAACTCCCCATTACCCGGTACACCCAACCCCTGGCAACTGCCATGGTACTGATGTTGAGCATCATTTCATGTGTTTGTTGGTCTTTTGTAAACCTTCTTTGGAGAAATGCCTATTCAAGTTCTTTGCCCCTTTTAAAATAGGGCTGTCTGCTCTTCTGTTGTGGGGTTCTAGGAGTTCTGTGTATATTCTAGATATTGGACCCTTAGTGGAGAGGATCTGCAGGTGTTTTCTCTCATTTCACTCTATTGATTGTGTTCTCCACGTTGATGCAGTTTTAGATTTTGATGTAGGCCAGTGTATCTGTTTTTACTTTTGTTGCCTGTCATTTTGGTGTCATATCCAACAAATCATTGCCCAATCCAATGAAGTTCTTCCCCTAAATTTTCTTCTAGGAATTGTACAGTTTTAGTTCTTATATTTAGATCCTTGATCAAGTTTGAGTTGATTTTGTATATGCGGTAAGGTAAGGATCCAGTTTCATTCTTTTGCATGGGGATATCCAGTTTTCACAACACCATTTGTGGAAAAGACTGCCCTTTGCTCATTGAATGGTCTTGGCATCCTTATTGAAAATCATGTGACCACATATGCTAGGGTTTTCTTCTTTTCCATTGGTCTATATATGTCTGTTTTTATGTCAGTGCCACACTGTTTTGATCACTGTAGCTTTGTAATAAGTTTGGAAATCAGGAAGTGTGCAACCTCCAATTTTGTTATTTTTTTATGGTTTTGGCTATTCTGGGTCCCTTGAGATTCCAGATGATTTTTAGGATAGATTTCCCTATCTCCGCAAAAGACACCATTGGAATTTTGATAGGGAGTACACTGAATCTGTACATTACTTTGGATAGTATTGGCATCTTAACAATACAGTCTTTCAGTCCATTCACATGGATGTCTTTCCATTTATTGGTGTCTTCTTTCCACAACATTTTGTAGTTTTCAGTGTGTAAGACTTTTGCCTCCTTGACTGGATTAATTCCAAGTATCTTATTCTTTTTTATACTATTGTAGATGGAGTTGTAGTCTTAATTCTCTTTTCAGATTGTTTATTGAATAATGATGGGTTAACATTTAATTTTTATTGTTAAATATGACATATAGAAAAGTGCACAGGGTATATAATGCTAACAAATAACTATAGAATGAATCATCATGTAGCTACCATCCAGATCAACAGGACCTTGTGTACACCCGCTGTGACTCCTCAGAGACCCTGCTGCTCACCCCCAAAAGAAAACCACTGTCCTGGTGTTTGCCACACTCCGCTGCTCTTGTTTGCTCTCTCCTTTGAGCCTGTTAGATCTGGCTCCTTGTCATTATTTAGAATGATGGATTATATAGAGAGACAAAAGCAACATGGTTTAGCGGTGAGATAGGAAAAATTTCAATTGAACACCCCCCCCAACCCAAACAGTTATTTTTTCATTCAGTAAACATTGTTGAGCGACAGGCATTACATTTGCCGTTGTGAACACAAAATAACATGCCGGACAAAGTAAAAAGTCACATGACGGGCAGGAGATATACAATGTAATAGTTACATTCACAATGGAACGAGGAAAAAAACTTTTTTTTAAGGGACCAACGCATTCTGTGGAGAGAAATCACCATAGAGGAGGGCAGGCCTGAGATGGGCCTTGAAGGAGCAATGAGAAGGCTGAGAGATGCTGGTCCAGATCAGGGAGACAGGACGTGGACCAGGGCTGTGAGTGTGGAGGTGGAATTATGGGATAGGTCGAAGGGGTAATGAAGAGATGCAGATCTTAGTAGCTCATGGGATGTGGAGCGGAACAGAGAAGATGACCACTGGGTGGAAGGTGGTGTCATCAGGGGATGGGTCAGCCAGCTTGGAGAGAAAGCATGACTTTGTTGTCACTATGCTGTGAGACCCTGAAGTAGACACTCAAGTAGAATGACTGGGAGGTGGCCAGATGTGCAGATAGATATGGGCCCACAGAGAGTCCTGGGTGGACCTAGAAACTTGGGGAGTCATTAGCAAATAAGCAGCAATTTATTCCATAGGGATGATTAAGACTTCTCAGGAAGAGCATTTGAAATGAGACGGGAAAGTTATGGACAGAACCCTGGGGAACACCACAATGTTAGTGGTGGGTGGAGGACAACAAGCAAATCAGGGAGAGGAGGGATGACTGGGGGGGGGCAGGACAACTGGAGATAGACTGAGGCCACGGAAGCCAAGGGAGGGGTGAGCAGCAAGGGCAAAGATATAGTGAAGAGCTGTCTTTCTAAATTCATCTCTGTGATACGGACATCGTCTTCCTAGGTGTGGAATCACAAGCAAGTTTCCTATCCTAACTTGTCCCACCTTTTTTTGTCATTAAATGATACAACAGAGGGTGAAAATACCACAGAAGTCTGTATTTGAATTCAGACCTGCCTGGACTGGCCGAAAAGGCCCACCAGGAGCCTGGTGCAGGAAGGATCATCACAAAGATAGTGCTGAGGCATAAAAGGGGTCCACGGCGGAATGTGAAATGTGGATATTCTGATCCTATGCTCTCAGGAATCTGTCATAGCTTGGGGAGTGACAGCTGTAATAAAAATAAGACAAAGTTATTTCCCATTTGCCAGATCTTAGCAATGGGGAGGGGGCTTTCTACCCAGGGTGGCACAGGCTAGTGCGGTCCCTCATTGAGTGCACAGCACCACATCCATTTCACGGACAAGGGACGGTGTGCCCTGTCACGGTCAGTGGTGAGCCAGGACTTGATTTCAGAACAAGCACCAACAAGAAAAAGACAAGCATATTTAATGACATAAAAACTAAAACTTCTCTCTACTCTCTAAACAAAACCAAAGACAACTGATGAGTAGGTTTTTAAAAAACTGCAACTTATGACAGATGAGTTAACATACTATGTGAAAAGACCAACACTCCAATGAAGTCACAAAAGTAGAAATATCAGTAAAAATACAGAAGATGTTCAATTTTCACAGTCATCAAAGAAACGGAAATTGAGAATAAAGGGAAAAAGGAACCTAATAGGTGGTAGCTTAATTTTCTGGGAGCACACTGGTAATACTAAAAATTCTAAAATGTTTAAAGTTTTAAGTTATCTTTTAATTGTAAATGTCTGCTGCCAGGAATTCATCTGAGGGCAATCATTGGGCATATGTGCAGAGAAAAAGGTGCAAAGGTATAAGATGCAGTCCTGGTTATAATGTACAATCAAACCATTAATGGAACTACATTTTAGCAAATCACACAACAGATAACCAGACAACCCACCAAGAAGACGTGATTCGTATTTATGGACGTGGGAAGGGAACAACAGCTAACACTTATGAACACTTAATGCCAAGGCACCTCACAGCCGCCTTGCAAAGAATGTACGATTATTGCATCCATGCTTCGCACACGAGAAAACGGAGGCTCAGAGAGGGCAAGCAACACGTTCAGGGTCATCAGCCACTGAGTGGCAGAACAGGATTGGGAGCTAGGTCTGTCTGAAGCTGAAGTCCATGCTCTTAATCCCACTCCCTATTGCCCCTCTGCTTCAAATTAAGAGAAAACAAGGTTATAAAACAGAAGTGCGTCATGGTCTCACGCTTACAAACACCCGCGTGCTCGATGCAATGCCCATTAATGATGGCCCGGTCAGATGCAGCCATAAAACGAGTCCTCCTAACCGTAACGGAATGAACCAGGCAACACCCAGTTTAATGTTCTTGTCAGTTATTTATTATTTGTCATTCTAAAGACTAGCACATTTACAGCATACATGGCTTCGAATGAGCTAAGAATATATAAAACAGTAACTATATGTTTATATATATTAATACTGCCCACCCAAAACAAATAAATAAAAGTACTTTAATTCACTAAGCTTGGCAAATACAACTGCGGAGGGACAAAACTGTATTATACAATATTTGTACATTTTTCAAGGAAACCAAAGGCAACTGTGCTGCAGGTGCTTAGAATCCACATCACATCCCACGTTTTCAGTAGGTTTCAACGTTTCTTTTTAAATGAGGGGCCTTCTCAAGAACGCTGGACGGAATCTGTTTTACCGTAACCTGTAAAACGGCTTTCCCTGTGCAGCTGAAGACTCAGAGCTCCCGGCTCCCCTGAGGAGCCCCGGCCGCCGCGACGGGTGACGGGGGCGTGCCCTGGCGCCGTGAGCGTGGGGAGGGCGTGGCGCCACAAGCGTGGCGGGGAGGGGTGTGACGCCGCCGCGAGGCTGCCCCACACTCGCCCGCGGCAGCCCGGAGTAGTGCTCACACGGAATACTGAAACCTCAACAGTTTCTGCACCATTAGCCAAGTCTTAAGAGTTTTAACGGTGATCCTTAACAGGAAGCCAAAGTTGGAAAAATAATTCACATAAAGGTGCCACATGCAAAATTGCTAACAGATGACTCAACGTTTGCTATATTCCCTTTTGATAAATGTGGGTACTTAATGCTCTTCAGACAAAAAAGAAAAATTCTGGAAACAATATGGGTAACATTTAAAAAGATAAGGGAATTCTTTAAAGTTAGTGATGTTAAAACGAGAGAAGATGGGGAACTAGGTAGACACTAGAGAAATAACTTAAATGAAACGGAGGAGGGGTGAGAAAATCAGCCATCCTAGAAACCGTCTTTGAACAGGGACCGACACAGCAGGAGAATGTGACGCCAGCTGCCGCCGCCTCTCCAGCAGGGTTGGGGGACAGGAGTGTCTCTGCCTGCACCCTCCACAGAGAGCCAGCTGTGGGACAGGTGTGAGCAGCCGCCATCGCTCCCTGGTGCGTCCTCCGCATCCGCTCACACCCGACCAACGGGCACCCAGGAGAAGCAGGCTCTGCGCAGGAAGGGTCTGGAAGGTCTTCCATCCAGTTCCACCCTCACCTGCACGCCTACCCCTCTGGGTCCCTGCCAGTGGGTGGCCTTGCCCATGCCTCAGCAGCCCAAGTGTGTAACACATTTCCAAGCAGCATGTCTAAAGGAGCCCACGAATAATACCTCAAATTTTAGACCGAGGAAATTTCCTACAGGTTCACAAATCATTAGGATCGGCATCATGGATATGTGCCACACAGATTTCTTTTACAGCCTTTTAAATAACATGTAAACATAATAATCATGATAAACAGAACTGATAAATGTATAAACTAAGAAAAATCTCTGCTATGTGCAGATAAAACTCATCATTATCATCTTATAATAGATGACTGGACATAATTTTCTATGAAATTCCTAAGTTTTATGGCCTAGTAATCCCTTTCAAACTCTCACTGTAGGAGATAAATTCAACTTTCTCAATAGTCATCCTACAGAACAGAATGCGAAGAGGACAGTAACAAGTGCTGCAAACCTAAGAGAAACTTTCATTCAGACAATCCAACATGATTGCACCGTCTTCTAGAAGATGATAAATTGGGAAACCCACAAAAGCACATATGTTCTGAAAATAGTTAGGCTCCCAGCACCTACACGTATAACCCCCACCCCCCCGAGTTGTCTGAGAGGCAGCAGACACCTCAGGTGTGGGGGTCCTAGAACTCAACACCCAGGGGAGAGGGGAGGCGTGCCCCAGGGGCAGGACCAGCCACGAGCTGAAGAGCACAGGACTGCTGGCTTCACATTCTCCAGCACACACCCTGTTCTACGACACATCAGGGGCAGAGGGGGACCCCACTGTGTGGGTCACTGTGCAGGTACCACCTTCCAGTGAAGTCTTACCTCAGGCTGATTTAGCAACCTTTACTTCACCTTCTGATTTCCCCTGTGCTGTCACAGGTAGGACAGTTCGTCGGAACCACTTGCTGTCACTGCACGAGCTAGAGCTACCTTCTTCCCCCAAAACTTGAGTTAACATTTAACATCTACTGGTCTGCCCAGGATCCAATAATTCAATATATTATTTACTGTTTTACATTCAGAGTTTTTAAAAGTAGACTGTAATTCAATGCTCAATTTTGAGTTACTCAGTAGAAAAATACATTAGGTGTGCAGCTGCCTAAGTGGGCATTTTAAAAAAGTCTTTTAGCATTTCAGACATATCTAGCTTGATTCATACAGGTAACTATCGATGATATCTGTGTGGTTATGGCTGAGGCTATTTAAATGGGCAGTTGCTACGATCCACACTATTGAGCCAAACATTACCTCCTACTGATTCCAGTGGAAAACATGCTCCATAGACTTTTTAGTGAATTTTTTTTTTAAACACAAAAATAAAAACCAATCCTTCAGGTCTTCTTGAAGAATTCAAATATGACACTACAGGGTACCCACATTTAGTATGTAACAGCTAATTAGAGGAACCATGTGTTCATGTTTCAACTTTTCCGTAAGTCCCTTCGGGAGGCCTGTAATGCTTGGGGAAAGCCTTCAGCTGCAGGGAATTAAATGCATATTTGCGACTTCCAACATTCTTCATTGTATTTTCTCTTCGACAACCCTCACTGGGGAAAAAAACAAGCACAAGAAATGACAGCAGTAAAAAAGGAAAAAAGAAAAGACTTAAACTAAGATGAAATGAATTGATTATTTTCATAGCATTAAAAAAAATGTTGATTAATTCAAATGGGTGCGGGACTCATTTACAACAATATGCACGCAAGATGGCGGGCTTCTGAACGAGGAAGGCAACTAAGAAGCACAGACATGGACACATGCTGGATGGGACTGCAGGTCTGGCATTTCCAGAGGCAGCGCTGTGTCTAAGCAGAAGCAAACTTTTGTTTTTAAGTGAATGGTTTTCATGTGTGTCATGTCAAGTAATTTGAGGATTCTATCATAACTAGCGGTTCAAACGTTCTGTTACATCACAAATTAAATGGAACATTGAGAAATGGTGCTACTCTTACCAAAGCTTTTCAAGAGCTGCATTTTTCTATATTAGCAATGGCTATTAATCACCTCAAATTCAAAATGCTCATTTTCCTTGCAGAATTTGGTATGTAGCAAAGCCATCTGGCTGAGAAGGCTGCTCTAACATGCCATCCCCACGGAGGAGACAGTGGGTGCAAAGCTATCAGTGAGCCCTGGGTGTCCTGGGTGCAAAGCTATCAGTGAGCCCATGCAATGGTGGCACGCTGGGTCTGCACAGCTATCAGGGCTAGAAGTGTCATGAAGGAGTGATCCCACTGAGATCTCCCCATGGCAGCCTTCTCCACGTGGGCTGTCCTCATTGTGGTCACCTCTCACAGGCATACCACTAAGCCAGGGAGAGCCCACAGGTGCCCTTCCCTAGAGAACCCGCTCCCAGCATCATCCCCAACTGTCTTAGATGGAGGGTTGTCATGGCAACCCAGTGGGCACAGCAAATGCTGAACAGGAGGATGAGCCATCAGGCAGGCTTCACATTCCCAAGTGAGAGCATCAGGGGAGTTCTCTGGGAAATGTTCTGCTGTAGACATCAAATTAACAGGCAAAAGCGGTTCTAAATATAAATGACTTCCTATAAGCACAGGAGAACTTTACATTTTTATATTATTCTTAGACTAGCAATTAAATCGACTAGTTATCAAATTTAGTACAAAAATCCCCATTATGAGATGTAAAATTTGGAGTTACCAAGAAATAGTGATTTAAAAAAAATATTTCAAATCGTATGAAGACCATTATGTCATGCATTTTAAAAAAATATCAGTGGCAATTGCTTAAGTGAAAATGACAGTCTCATTATCAAGAACATGTAAAATATTTTTGGTAAGAGTAATTTTATTCAAAAGATAAGCTCAGGTATTTTAGAAAAGTATCCACCTGCTTGTTATTAAGTAATTTAGTAACTCAGCTATGCTTTCTTGTCACCAGAGCCTCAAGCCCTCAGCGAGACGTGTCATCTGAACTGAGCGCGCCTAGGCCATGTGAGCAGAGAGCCCCTGGAGTAAAGAATGATCATGTTTGTCTAACATCCAGTAATCAGATAAAAATATAATTCCATTTAAAGCAGAAGCTCTAGGTTTCTATGCACAGTTAGTCTTATTTAATCTTTGGAAGTTCTCACATTATCAAACTATTTCAGATATGGCTTCTCTATTTATATAGAAATGGACACACTTTTCAAGGACCACCTATCAGTAGTAAATGCCAAACTGCTTTGAGGAGCAAAGAAGAATTTATCAACTTCGGCATTATCTTTTATTTACATATATTAAAGAAACTAATTAGTGGTTTAACTGGATGAATATGAGATACACGGAATTGTAATCAAGATTACCCTTTAAATGCAATTTTAATTTTTAAAGCAAACTGTATTTACTTTTCCTCAAATGTTGTGAATTTACAAAACCTGACTGCTGAGGCTGATGGCACACCGACCCTGTCATGACTTGCTTGCACAAGCTCGGGTGCCAGTGCGTGAGACTGAAGTCTGCAGAGGGGAGAAGGTGTCCGTGCTAACTGGCCTGTCCTGCTGCAGGGGCCAGGCTTCTGTCCCTAAGGTAGAACGCTTTCATCCATCACATGGGCTGCACAGTTCTTAGGTGCCAATAGCACACACTGAAAGGGTCTTGGATAGATTCTAGAAAGAGGGATTTAACTATTTCAAAGCTCCACCATTATTTTTTATTCTGTAGATAAATGCTTTCTTTTCAAGGACATCCTTTTTTTGAATGAGAATTTAGAATGGAAACCCAGATGACAACTAATTTTGGGGACTCCTCTGGTTCTCCCTTTCTGGTGTGGATCTTCTCCTTTGGAACTCGTCTGGACGCACTGGGGTCTAGTGTTAACTGAGTATCGAGTGTTGGCGGCCACTGACAATGTCCCTCCCGGTGCTAGCGTCACCTCAGAAGCAGCCTGAAAACCGTCACCAAATACCAGACTCCCCTCTTGTGAATCATCTTCCCATGTTTGTTTCATCCAGCCTATTTCTCACTAAAGCAGAAAAGATTTTCAGATATATATTTAGTCTGATTTCCTAAGTAGAAAGCCTTAGTGTTGCTAAAACTCAGCACAAAGGGCGAGCACAATGAGTCTCTTTCCTCAGACGTTCTGAAGAAAGACGGCAACAACAATTCAGAGCCTAGGCCGATCTCCTGGCCTTCTTTCTTGTGCTAGCCCTCATGACCGGAGACAGCTAGAATGTATGGCCTTTTGGCTCAGCCCCTGAAGAGAAAAAGAGAGAACCTTATCTTCTCTCCTTTCCAACCTCCACAGGGCAGGAAGGCCTAGCTGGCATCCTGGCAGTGAGGAGCAGGCTCAGAGGGGCCTCTCTAGCTGGCCACGGCCTCCCTTTGCTGGGACGGGGGAGTGCATCCTGGGAGGAGTCTCTGGGGAGTGGCACAGGAACACCCACAGGCCCGGGGAGCGGACGGGGTGCTATCGGTAGTCAGAAGGGCCTCCCTCATGGATGCATAGTCTCGGCCAGGCCCGGAGGTGGGCACAGGCACGTGTCACCCCCGTGAGGCATCAGGAGCACTTGAACCAGGGCAGGGACTGGGAAGCTGTGGAATGGGAGCTGAAAGGGCCTGCGGACTCTACTTTCTCTCTTTCAAATCTTGGAGCGCTGATGCATGCACCTCAATCTGAAGGAGGCAGGAGGTGAACATCCCTCTCAAAGAATCACGGATCAGACAGTGACTAGTGTTGTGTTGCTACAACTTAACAACACCACCTGTCCCTTGGCATCCGGTGAGACTCCCTACTGAAGAGTGTCAGGGGCTATGCCCCAGTACGGCCACCTCAGTTGTTCTAGAAAAGACAGAGTGGCCATATGGCACTCATGAGAAGACTGGCTTCCCGAACTACAGGTAGGAACCCTGCCCTAAGGCTCCTGCAGTGCTCAGGGGGTCTAGGAAAGAAGGGCCTCCCAGGGGTGTGAGAAGGACAGTCTTAGAATTTAAAGCCTGAGTCTGGCATTTGTTATTCGTTGCTAACTGCTTCTACCATTCCTAGAACGCGGACTCAGAACTGATGCCAAACCAGAGAAGTCCCAGAGTAAGTTCTGGACATCTTGGGGGAGGGAAGGGAGGGGGCAGATTTTGTGGTGGACTTGGTCTGTGTGTATGCATGGGAGTAAAGTTTCTGGAAAAGACAGCTTCTCTAAATTCACTCTGTTTTTCTAGACTGGTAAAAAGAAATCCACTTTCGTAAAATCCAGTGTACAGGGAACCAGCTGGCGGTCAAAAACAGAAGTATGGCATAGTTTGGGCTGGAAAACAGAGAAGCCACTGAGTATTTCTTATACAAAATCCATGGAATTTCCCCCTAATTTATTCTGTTACCTTTACAGACATTCAATTATTCTTCTGCCAAATGTGAAAGTTAAGGTTATGAACCACCTCGTTTTGTGGGCATTTCCGTGTTACATGAAGAGTGCTAACAGCACAAACCCAAGCAACGTTCCATCTGCCACAAGTGCCCAAAGGTTAGGCCTCCGTTTGGGGATCATTTTTTTTTTTTTTGATTTTCAAAATTATCATTATTAACCACATTTGATTTTTTAAAATGAAAAATACTGCTTCATGAAAAATAAATGTATTTAACAGCCTTTTGTTCCTATACGCACTAATTCCTGTAACCAGTTTAGTGATCCTTAAAGATTTCAAAGAGTAAATCGAAAGTCACATGCAGTATGTTATTTTAATGTGCCTGACTTGATACAACGGGCAACTGCGGTCACAGCTTTGTGTCGTCTCAAACTGGAAATCAAAAACACAAGCGAGGAATGTTACGATTCTGCAAAGTGTTTGCTACTGTGAGTTCAGGGACTACGCTTTGAAATGAAAGCAGAAAGTACATGTCCTATTAAATAGGCTGATCTAGATGAGCCGGTTATTAAGCATCTATCTATCCTTTTTGTTTCTCTTCAAAAGGAAAGGAAAGGTTAGCAGTACATGAAAGAGTAGTATCAAATATACAAATTCTCTTCAGACAGAATCCCCTTCTCTCGGAAACAGGGCACAGGAGATATACAGGTAATAAATAGTTTTACATCAGAAGGTGAGAGATTTGGTAACAACTCCAGGCCAGCTAAACAACGCAGCGACAGGGCACTGTAAGAATGTGTTACAAGCACTGAAAACTCGATGGAATTTAAACGTACGAGTCCTCTCGGTGAAATAATTTGGCAGGTATTTACAGTTCAGAACAACAGAACGTCAAACTGTAAGGCATGAAATATTTCTTGGCAGACCACGCTCTGACACATTCCTTCTGTCCAGTTAGGTACACAGGTGGCTGGACATATTCTGGCACTTTTGTTTTTCTTGTGACTTAGTACTGATTTTTCGCAATGGTACTCATTTGCAACGCAATTTGGTCACCAGGTATGCTATGCTCAGGAAGAGCCACACAATCAGTAAATTGGGGCTCAGGGCTAACAAAGGGATGGAACAGAGGAGGCTGGGATCTAGTCTTAAGTCTCGGATGGGCACCAGGCCGCTCAAGTTCTTCTGGGTGACTACCTCCCGTGTTCCAATGCTGTGAAAAGGAAAAAGTTTGGGAGAAAGGAAAAGAAAAAGGCAAAGGAAATAAAGAAAAAAAAAAAAAAGAGAGAGAAACACATGCAATGGATGTATCAAAAGTATGGAAAAAAGAGGAGAACCAAACGGTAAGATTTAAAACAAACCAAAAAATGGGATGGAGCCACAACAGAAAGAAAAGATGATGTGGAGAAAAGGGTGTGGAAGGGATACCAAATCAAAACCAGCACAGTCACAAGAAGAAAGGAGAGAAAGAGAAGTGAAAATAAGAAAAAAATACTGTCGTCTACCGAAAACAAACACATGTAGGTTGACTAAATGGTTTTCCATGTTCGCGCTCTCTCGGCTGGCCAAGCACAACTCCATGCTGCCCCGCCATGCTCTCACATGCTGCCAAGACATGGGTTTCAAGAAGCAAGCTGAACATGAAGAACCATTGGGGGGGGGAGGGGTTTGACCTTCTCACAGATGCCTGAGCGGGGGGCGGAGCGACCAACTTTGCCAAAGCTGCCTCTTGATGAACCATTCAAACAACGACCGTTTACCTCAAGTCTCAGTCAGAGGTAGAGCCCTCCCCAGACTCGCCCTGGCTGTCAGGCTGAGCAGTGGCAGAGCATGAGCTGCTCGTGTCCCCAAACGTTCAAGTTACTGTTCTACAGGGTGATCCCCAACCATGGAATCCAACCGAGCTCACGTCAGAAATTTGGGGGTTTTCCCCTTTGGTGCCCCAGAATATATACCGAAGTGCAATGGCTCTGGAGCCACATCCTCTACGAACATCCACCAAAGTGGCAACAGTGACACAGAAGCGGAGATGCTGGGACACGACACGTGGCCTCTGAGGATCCACCCAGAGATGAGTAGCATGGGGTCCTTGCTCAAGCAGAGTTCTCCTGGGCTTTCCCGGAGGAACTTGGAAGCCCTGGAGTGGCCCCGCCGGGATGTGCCATTTAGACTGGGGACACATTCCCAGCCAGGGCAGTCTCTGGGGGCGGCGGGGGGGGGGGGGTTGTCACTGTGGCTACTTAGGAAGGCCCACTCTGTGTTTCAGCCCCCGAATCGGGGACAGAGAGGCACCACGAGCAGTGAGCTGGCACTGGCCCCAAAGGCTTGCAGGAGCCGAGCGTACACAACTCTTCACAACTCCGTGTTCCGTGATGTCACACCGGTAGCTGGAAATAAGCCCCAGTGGGAGTATTTATGCTACAGAAACTGGCGAACACTATAGATCAGGGCTTTTTTTGGTGGTGGTGGAGGCGGGGAGCTGGTTGTTAAACATTTGCTAGCACATCACTGGCCACTGCTCATCCTGGGCCTCCGGGAGAAACACAGCCTGAGTGTCAGCTTTGCCCCCTTACGCCACCCCCCTCTCTCCACCCTGCACCCTTGCCTGCATGCTCTACTCGTCCAGTTGGTAAGATGCAAGCGAGAAAGCAAGAGAACCAAAATGCATTCCTCCACTCAAGGCATGGCCCAGTATTTTCTGCTGCCTCCTTAGGGCTCCCGGCTGCGCCACAGGTCCTGGCCACGCTACAGCCAGAAATCCTGGCTAGTGACCCAGCCACCTCAGGCTTGCTGTCTATGGACAGAAGCGTGTGTTCCCCACAGGGGAGAATCCAGAAAATCACCTTAAAACAACCACACTCGGTAACGGCCTGGGCTGCGACGCGGCCAGGCAGACAGGCGGCGGAGAGCACAGAGCCCTGGCTGCTGGAGCTACTGGGTCCCCGGGGGCGGGTGCAGGGGGGCCATAATCCAGCTTGGTTCTTGTGTAATAATATCTGACATGATTAGTAAGTAAGATTACGTGTTTAGTGCAGAGATTTTAGAAAATTCAGAAAAACCTAAATAGGACACTTTAAAAAGGCTTCCATAATTGGAGGTGGAGGGGGGAGGTTTAGAGAGGCAGAGGGAGGCCCAGGGAGGAAGGTCCTTCCCTACTCAGGACCGCGGGGTCCTCACCTGTGACACAGGAAAGCAACACCGACTTTACAGACTCAGAAGCGCTCCGACGAGTGACAGGCGCAACAGCACCCGGAGGGTGGACAGAGCAGGTGCTCAGGACAGGGGGTGGGAGTGTGACGATTTGTATTAAAAACCTTAGGGAGGTGTATATTTTTAACCTAAGGGATCAGTGCGGCAAATGTGGCCAGGAGCATAAATAAGGGGATTCACTACCCCCTGGTTTGAGGTGCTGAAAACCACCTTCAGCTTAGATATTCAATGGCAGCAAACTGGATCATAACGGTGTGCTCAAAACTGTAACCCGAGGGCGCCTGGGTGGCTCAGTTGGTTAAGCGACTGCCTTCGGCTCAGGTCATGATGTCCCGGGATCGAGTCCCGCATCGGGCTCCCTGCTCAGCAGGGAGTCTGCTTCTCCCTCTGACCCTTTCCCCTCTCGTGCTCTCTATCTCATTCTCTCTCAAATAAATAAATAAAAACTTAAAAAATAAACAAAACTGTAACCCGAAAAAATGCTCACAAGACCGTTAAATGAAAAAAGTAGGCTAAAACACCAGGCATAACTGCACACAGAGCTGCATCTGCTTGCACACGTGTGTGTTTTGTGCATTGATCAGGGACTGGCGACCCAGTGTGTGTATTAACCACAGTCACACCTGTGCACTTGTATGTACGTGTCTACATCTGCAAGAATAGGCTTCAAACATGAGCACAGCTGCTTGTCAACAGGAGGAATGTGGAGGATTCGGAGGTGGGGGTGTGAGAACAGCTGGTGGAGGGGCTTATCCACATTTTTAAATTTTGCTACAAGGAATATTACTTTCTTAGGTGATCCAGTGGTGTGTGCTGAAAGCCATAGCAGTTGATCTGTGCACGTGCGGGTACTGCCCACACAGCCCCGAGGCGGGCCACAGGCCAGCAGATGCGGCCACCCTTGTGTCTTTCTAAGAAGCCCCATTCTCCCCAGTCTCCCGAGACCTCTGTGCTCGGATGCAGTCAAAATGAATTGTTGTTCTCATCGAATTTGTTCCAGAAGCCAGGACTGGATAGCTGTCTACACATCCACTGTACACCTGACTCAGGGCCTGGTCTATTCAGTGGACCTGATCCTAACCCTTGCTCCGACAACCACAGGAATCCTCCCCCACTTCCATTTCTCATGTTTCTTCTCTAGCGGAGGCCTGCATCTCACCAAGGTGGTCCCTCCCGGCACCTCGCAGCTCACAGGATGCAGACGTGCGTGGCTGGAAGCCCAGGCCCTGCCACCCTCGTGGCATCAGGAACACCGAGCCTGAAGGACAGGCCGTGAGGACAGGCTTGACTAAGGGTGCCTGGGCAGGGGTCTCGAGAGTCTCCATGGCTTCCCCAAGGCTCAGCCCAGGGAGGGTGGTGAACTTTCCGTACGTGCATAAATAGAGGCCCCGAGGTCACGGAGGGGGATTTGGATGAATGTGGAAAAGACAAAACAGGGACAACACACTTCCATTCCTACAAAATGCTATTATCAAGAGGCAGGAGCTCAGGCATCACTTTTGTGGGTTATTATGAGAAGGTCAAACGGCAGAAACATACAGAAAGGATAAGAGAATTGAACGCTTTAAAGAATTTGGTGAGAGGACAAATGATACAGAACATTCAGTAGGAGTGACCGTTGGAAACGAGACTTTGACAGCATTGGTGGCTACATTGAAGGAGACGGGAAAACCAGGTTTCTTATCCTTTCTTTTGGTATGTGAGGTAAGGTGCTCCCCAGCAGTGCTTGAAACAAGGCATTGATCAACAGTAGACAGTTTTTAGTCCCGGGTTTCATTCTGCAAACACGCCTGCTGCCTCAGAACCAGAACATCATTAGGGTGAGGTCGCCACGGCACACGGACAGGTAGGGGGCTGCTGCCGTTACCATAAGACACTCATTTGACACTTTGCTAAGAAAAGCAAACTGTGTCGACGGCTAAAGAAGAAGCAGAGCAAACCAGTGCAACCTGCAGACGCATTTTCTTCACTCAAGTTTCAAAGGAGCTAATACGCATGGTGGAAACAGCAGGTGACTGCTGAGGAAGCTCTGGCCCTCGTTCCCACCTGCAGCAAGGCAGGGGGCTGAGGGCCAGCCACGTGCCCAACGACTCGCACATGGCCACACTGGACTTCCCTGGGCAACGTCCTGACTCCTCAGCTTGCCCCAAGGGCACCCGCTCACAGAGACTGCTAGCTCTCTTGTCCCTCTGACTTAAAAGGGAACACGGTCTCAATTTGAGACCACCGACAGTTTGACTTGGCAGACGTCAGTGAATTTTCCAAAGTCAAACCAGAGCATATGCCGGCGGGAGTCAAGGGAACCTGGGCCGGGGGCGCCCCGGCGGGACCGGCTCATCTGCAGTTTACACGGAGCCCAGGGTAGGCGGGGCGGGCGGCCTGGACAGCGGGACTCACCTGCGCATGCACTCCAGCGCCTGGGTGAACACCTGCGGGGCCATGCCGTGCTCGTGCTGCAGGATCAGGCACTGCTCCAGCGTCACTGACATGGCCGTGCGGTCCTTGGCGCTCTTGCAGCTGGTGAACCGGACCCCGTTAAGGCGGCGGCAGATCTGCAACAGGAACACAGGCTGTGCTGACAGGGAGACGCCACAGGACCCCGGTTCCAGATGGTCAGCGGCAGCATGTGGCAATGCCAACTCCCAGGGCCACTTCTGATCCCTGACTCCACGTCTGGCCAGAGCCAGCAGCAGAAACGACGTCATTGCCTGTGGGACTGCCTTTTTCCCCATGTGACTTTGTCCCCATCCCTCGTGTCCCCCCCCCCCACAGGCCATTCCTTCCAGGCTTAGGTGCCCCCTTCTTTTCTGAGGCATCACCGTCTGTGCACTGACCGTACCAGCTGCCCCCTTCCAAACTGTGCCCAGGCCATCTCCTCACGTTCAGACCGTGCTGCGGGCCCTGGGCAGAGGAGAGCAGCAAAGTCTGGCTCGGGAGGTCAGAGCGGCTCCCAGGATGCCCCGTCCCCGGCCAATTCCAGGTCTTTCTGGAAGGCATAGCACAGACCCACTGTCTCTACTCTGTTCCTCCCCTGCACAGATGGGAATGGCTCTGAGGAGCTTCCCCCTTTGCCACCTCCTGACCACCAGGCCCCGCGGGCCCTCCACTGTCCTCCATCTCACTCAGGGCCGGGCAGGGCTCAGGGGCCAGTGCACTCTCCTCTTCACAAGTGGGGAGCTCACAGTGGGGCAGCCTCTGGGCTGAGAAAAGGCCACCCCGGGGCACCTTCTCTCACCACAGGAAGGACATTTGGGGGCATTTTCTTTGTACCACTAGATACAATTCTAGGTACACAGTCCCCAAGAGCAGAAAGCCCGAAAACAAAAGATTTTTTCTAAGTTTACGGCAACTTCATTTGGCAGTCTGACCAGATCTGAGCTGATATGAGACTATAATCTTCATTTATCCCGTTTTGTATAAACATTCATACCTTTTAATAAGGTAATATTAATGAGTCTGGTTCCAGAGCACTGCCCCATCCCCTGGGTATGTTCAACCGTATGTGTGTACCACATCAAACATAGGTGATGTCACTGTATTACACATATGTGCACCAACTGTATACCAAATCACCTTTCTAAAATATAGAAACCTGTGAATTCCAAAACATCTACCCACAAGAGCTTCAGATAAGGGCCTACGGACCTGTACCAGGTAGACCACAGCCACCAACAAAGGCCCACGGTGGGGGACGTGCAAAGACAGGGCTCCAAGAAGACAGGCTCTCAAACACAGGGCCTCCCAAACAGCGGACAAGCACCACGACCAGCTGTCTGCTGCAGGGAAGTGACCCGGGGTGGAGAGGAACACTTTCCTGAGGAGGAGAACAGGAAAGCTCTAGAATGAGTAGCTCGGGAAAGCCATGAGGGGGGAGGGGGAGACAGCCCTCCTAATGGCTACTTGGGCTCTGTGAACCGGGGGTAACCGGGTGTGAGTGTGTACTCCTCCCCCGGAGCAGGGGCCAGACGTCCATCCCACCCCTGTGCTCAGGCCGGGCCGGGAGCTGGAATGCCATCTGGGGATCACTCGTGCTCCTGAGTCTACCTGGGCTAGTCCCCATTCTGGACAAGTCACAGTGCTGCCGTGGAGACTAGTTAAGGTCACCCTCGACAGGGGTGAGTGAAGGGCTAGCTATGCAACTCCACAAGAACATTTATGAGAAAATACTGGAAGTACTTGGGAAAAGAGGAGATCTGAACTGCAATGTACAAAAACTACTATATAAAGAGACTGCAAAGGTCACCATGGTCTACCTCTGAAGCTATTAAAAGATGCAGTAGGCAGTGCGTTGTAGCTGGTATCGATTGCCCAGGCTTCTGGAGGTGACAACTGTCATCAGCCTGGTTATTAAATAAATGCCCCAGTGGATAGAGTCTGTGTCAAGCTTACTGGAATTCAGGCAGCCCTAGAGTAATGAACTCAGAGGCACCTTTCAGTATCCTCCAGAGTTCTGGATGTATTCGGTGACTTTCTTTTTGTGTCCATATGGAGAAATTTGCTCTCTCCACTCCTGGCTGAGATTCTGATTTATTATCATAATTATTATTATTGGCAGCAAGTGCAACAGTATCATTCTTTTCCTCAGTATAACGAAGGTACTACCTCAGCAGCTTGCCAGAGAATGTCGACATTCTTATTCTTCCTGGCGTGTACATTCTGGCCCAGAAAACGCAGCAGCTCCGGCAGGCATGTCTGGCTCCGAGATCGAGGTAGGCCTGCAAGACAGGGGGAGTCCGTGAGAGCTGGTGGGGCACCCAGACCCATGGCCCATGGAGCCTGGCCAAGCTGGAAGCTTAGGGTGACTTATGCAAGAAAGGAGGTGTGCTTAGGGACTGGCCCTGACTACCAACACGGGGAGCACTTAAATCACTTTCACTGCCACTTCAGTCCCACCTGCCAAGGGCAAATGCTCATCTTCTTTCAGCTCTTCCCAGAGGCTGGAGCACAGATGCAGGGTCACCGAGGGCAGGAGGGAGTTAGGAAGATGCATCTGGTCTTCAGAGCCTCCGCAGGGAGGACGACGCTTAGGGCGATGAGTACTGACCACTGAGTAGGCTTGGCCACCCCTGGGGGATGTGGGCAGTAGGGCCTCCTCCCATGGATCTGGAGTGACCCACTCTCTCTGACAGCCTCCCTCTGCCACTGTGACCATCTCCAGCCCTTCCAGGACCTCTTGAACTGGAAGATCAGTCTGATCACCCCACCTAAGAAACCTGGGATTTTCAAAACCCAGGATCATCAGAGAAAAAGAGAAGCGCCTCAAGGTATGTCTAAGAAAAACAGCTATGGTGCCTGAGTCCCCAGATTAAAACCAAACACATGGAATTCTGGGATCCAGCTGCACACAGAGTTTCCACCACACAAGCTCACCTTCGTGTACCCAGGCTCTTACGCTAATTATCACATGCACCTGGTATGTGCCCGGCACCATGCTGATCAGGGGACTGGGGCAGAAACAGACATGGAAAGGGGGCTCCCGCTCACTGAGGGGCTCAGTCTGTGATGGAGGCTGTGGGATCCCAGAAGAGGCAAGCTTGTCTCCTAGTGGAGACACAGCACGTTACTTGCCCAGATTGGCTGCTGCTTCTCCCTTGCCTCCCCTGCAGCCCTAGTCAGTGCACACCTGCCCACTGATGAACCGAGCAAACTTAGGGGGTATTCACTGGGTGCACTCCATTTCCTTGGCCTCACAGAGCCCCAATTCTCCTGGGGCTGAACATGCAATGGGCTGCTGTTCCCCCAACTTCCCGGGTCGTGGTCCAGTGCTACTGGTCCACCCTGGAGAGGCCCACGCCTGGCCTGCTTTTGTCCTGTAGGCTGCACACTTCTGTGGCCTTCATCACCAGGATACATCTCCTGGAGTCTCACATCACTGGAAACAGGCTGCCCTCCAAGACGCTGAGCACAGAACTCCCACTTCCTGACCACATGGCTCACTGTGCCCACGCATCTGTCCTCCACATGGCCTCCATCCCTCCTCCCTGCTCCCCTTTGTGGTGCCTGGGCCAGGGGCCCAGACCTGTAGAAGACCCTGTCCCTCCAGTCCAAGCTTGGGTGCTCCACTGTCTCCGACCCCTGCAGCACTTGGAAGGTGGGTGCTGGTGGCAGTCAGCCTGGGCTCCCTCCTTGGGAGACTCGCCCTCCTGCCTCGGTGTCAAGTGTCAAGCGTGTAGACAGCCTGGCACGTGCAAAGATTTGGTAAATCTGTCACTTTCAACTATGATTGCTGCTGAAGCACGTGAGGACACCTCAATACCTGGGGGTTCCCGAGAGCCCGAGTACTGGTGACCTGCAGCTAAAGCATCAGGGTGCCCTCTCACTTATGGTTTTTCAACCCTGGCCACCTGGGGAGTTTCCGGAACTCCTGAGGCCCACCACTCTGGGGTGGGGCCCAGGCATCAGGACTGTCTGGGCTCCCCAGTGAATTCCAGCATGTGGTCAGGGCTGGCACCTTTGCAGTTCCCTGGGGAGACCGGGCCCACCTGCCGTGAGCACCCTATATGTCCCCCTGTCCACAGCAGCCACCGATGTGTAGTCCTCAGCTGCTCCTACATCTCACCGCCGTGTTTCTCTAGCTCCTTCCCCTGTGGCCCATCTCACATCTCTGCCGATCTCCAGGGCGGAGTGACCCATCGAGGCAGTGCCATTTCGTCACTTTCTTGCCCTGGCTGCAGCCCTCGCCGCACTGACTGTGCCTCAGAAGCCACCAGGGACTCCTTCCCTCACCCCCCCGCCAGCACCCAGGTAGTACTGCTGCTCTCCTGCCTGCAAGGACTCGCTCCCACCTGTCCGCTGAACCTTTTCTTCTCAAGCCACCTCCACGCGGGGCCTTTCCCCAGAGGCTTGTCCTCAGCCCCTTCCTCTTGCACACAGTGACCTCAGCCGCGAGACAGCCCCACGTCACCTGTGTCGCTGACCAGGGTGGTGACAGGCATGCCCCACCTGGCCTCACCTGTGGCCCGTGTCCTATATCACAAGGCCATTGGTGCCTGGGCCGCTCTCCTTACGCCCCAGCCCTGCCCCCTCTGTGCATCCGCAGGCGGCCAGCTCATGTGGCCACGGCCAGCACAGGCCCTCTGTCTCTCCACCACATGCCCACAGCTCTCTCTTCCCCAGCACCATCTCACGCCGCTGCAAGGGAGCGCGCTCGCACAGCGACCTCCACTTGTGCCTCTCCTCTCCGCCTACCACACCCCCAGGTCAAAGTCGGAGGGAGAAGACTGTGCACAGTGGCCTGCACCCCTCCTCCAAGCCAATCAGCACACTTTTGCTGATTCCCGACAAATCCCTGAAGGTTTTCCCCCACCGCTTCCCTGCGAGAACTAACCTAACACCAACTCCCCCGCCTGGCCCAAGGTCCCTTGCAACACAGCATCTCCTAATAGGACCTCTTGGCCGACGGTCTAAGTGCCGAGCCTCAGAGCCAGGCCAAGCCTTCCGTGCGACCAGGACCGACGCCCTGCGTTGTGGCACTGTCGTGGGCAGTCAGTGTGGGGATGTGCACAGAGCGCGGCACAGCGCCAGGCACAGCAGTGACCCAGGAATGCAAATGAAGCCTTTTCCCATTTTCCTCCTCAGGAATCTCCCTTGAAGGACACTGATGTTACCCAGCAACCGAGACTGCCTCCTTTGCTCGGGGGTGCCCCCTCAGAGCCGGGCAGCACCAGCAGAGAGGCAGAGCCCATTCCTAACCAGGGTCTAGTCTCGTTCGTTGCTGGGTCCCGTGGTGCTTTACACAGGGCAGGTGCTCAGTAAGTATGAAATCCAGAGAGAATTCCCCATGCACAGACAGTGTGGAGAGCCCAGGGCCCCTGCCTGAGTCCAGGGGCACAAAGAAGGCTTTTAGCAGACTGACAGCTGCCGTCACTCACCCCTACCTCTGGGGACACCTGCACAGGGACCCCCCGGGTCCCCCGCACCCAGCACTAAGCGTCTGCCCAGCATCTTACTCTACATGCCACAGGGGGAGGTGCATGGGGAGCTCACCCCAGCGCGGCGCCGAGTGGGGGCCCTGCCTCTGTGACCCCACCTCTCCGACCAGCAGGCACACAACATATGCCACCGGTATCAGTGAGCACCAGTGGCCGGGACAGCTTGTGAGAAAGCCCCGCAGTACCCAGGGGACAAGACAGCCAGCCAGAGAAGCAGCAGCAAGGGCCACAGCCTGGGGGAAGCTTCTCCGCAGGGGGGACTCAAGCTGGGCAGGCCCGAGTAGGTGAACAGGCTGCAGGGGTGGGGACAGGGAAGCAAAGGGGGAATTTTGAGTGTGGAGGCAGCATCCGGATGCTGGGTGAGCAGACAGCCTGAGCGGCGGGAAAGGCTCCAACACCCAAAGTGACACAAGACAGACGACAGCTGAAAAAGAAACCTACCGTGAGTGAAGAAGTACTTACAGTCCTCGGGCAAAACTTCCTTAAACTGCTCAAAGTAGGAGTTTAACCGCACCAAACTTTCCACGTTGATAACTTCTTGTAAAGATGTATCGCCAAACCTTCGGAGGTCAGACGGGGACACCATGAGTTCTCTCAAGGGTCAGCCCACAGCTAACCAATAAGCTGCTTTCCTCCTGCCAAGCATGAGGCCATCTCTACCTTGTCAGTGACTTGTTTAAATACATTTCATTAGCGGGAACCATGCACATTTGTTACAGATGTGCCTCAAAGATGACCGGAACTCTATCCGTCCCAGACCCTTGTGTGGCATGCATACAAACCCCTCTCACAGATGCTCGCAGGGAGGCCCTGTGTCCTCCATCCCAGAGGTGCTTACAAAAGGGGACAGCACTGGGGCTCTGGCTGGGGAGTAAGGACCCAGTCCTGTACCCGAAACGGAAGTCACTCTGCCTGCTGGACAACCACACCTGACTGGTTGCTCCTCCTGGGCTGTATGTGAGGCCCTAGCGCACTTCTCTCCATGCAGGCTCAACCTGTGCACACCTCCCAGGTAGCCAGGACATGCCAGAGGTGGTCATGCAAGGTGGTCATTAGGTCTGGATGCCCAGTCCAGCTCCACCACTGCCCTGCTGAGTGACCTCCATGCACATCAGCCTCTTCATGGTCCCAGGTCACCCTTCAGCAGGCAGGACTCCCTCCTGCGGGTCCATCACAGTCCCATCCACCCTGATGCCTGCAAGGGCTTTTCCTCTAGGCACCTGCTCCCTTGGGGACTGCCCCAGGACACAGTGAGCTGGGCTTGTTTATGAGCTGAGGGGACAGTGTCCCAAAAGCGGATGAATGAGCAAAGACCTGGCACTCGCCAAGTCTTCCCCATCCCCACTGTCTCACCGTCCTCCACCTGCCCCTCTGCTCGCTGTGATGTGGCCTTGCCTCAACCCTTTCCAGAAACTGCTCTTGCAGTCATCAGGAACAGCAGCTGCCAGACACAGGGAGCATTACCGTCCTCACTGGGACAACTCCCTGCCGGCCTCCTGATGCTGCCTCCTCTCCATGAAGTGGGCTCCTCCAGTTCTGCTCACACCCTAGAGGTCTCTGCTTCCTGGGCTGGTGGCCCCAGCTTAAGCCAGCCTCCATCTGCCCCTGAGCATGACCCTTCTCCTGGTTCCTGGGCTCAGGGGGTAGTGGCAACACCCACTCACTACCGACCTGGAAGCCTAGGTCTGTTATTCTCTTCACTGTCTCTCTCACACCCTGCCCAGCTGAAGACCAAAGCTTCCATTTCACCACTGAAACAGTCCTTCAGTCTGTCCCTTCTCCATCTGTACTACCCTCTGCCTGATCCAGCTCATCGCCTCTGGTCTGGACCCTTTCCAACAACCTCCTCTTTCTACCTGTCCCCCTCATATAAATTCCAGCACGTGAGCAGCAAGTGATCCACTTAATATGTAGATGTGATTGTGTCCTGCTCTACTCAAACTTCTTCGATGTCTCCCACCAGCCACACCCCCACATTGCTCAGTGGGGGTGACCCAATACTTAGGGATCAATGGATAGTGACCATTGGATTCCAAAGGCCCAAAAGGAAGATAGCACATCATCCTAGAGACCAAATTACCTGCATAGCAAGCACTTTTAAATAGCTTTTTATTCTAAAATGCATATGCCACATGAATATAATGATAAAACAGGAAAGATTTTCATTTACTAGCGGAAGGTCATTACACACGTCCAACCCCTCCTCCTCTCCAACACGCACGCACACACGCACAGACATGCTTGCACACACACAGACACACTTGCACACATGGGCACGTGACTCCTCCCTGTTGCCTGGCAGGGGAACCTGGAGGGAGTTTACAAGACATAGCCTTTGGAAAATCAAGGCAAGGCTCTTGCCTGGCATACAGGCCTCTCTAACCTCACCACTGTCCATCCCAGCCTGGGGCCTTGGCCTCCAGCCCCCACACGGTTTCTCCCCATCTGCCTTTGCTCACGCTCACTGACCTGAGATGCCAGGTCTTTCCTCCACCACCTCCTCAACTGACTAAATCCTACTCTTCAAAACTCAATTTAGCCATCGTCCCCTCCAGGAAGCCCCCCCAGACCCTCTCCCTGGGTCTCCCGTTAGGACCCCTACTCCCTGCATTCATCTTCATCCTTGTGCCCACATCTCTCTCCTACCAGCCCAAGTCTCTTGAGGATACAGACCACATCTGGCTCATCCTTGTGTCCCCAGCACCAAACACAGGGCTGGGTGTATGGCTGCACTTCAAGAACACCGGCCAAAGGGGAGGAGGGGGGATGACATAGTCTCTGCAGTGCTCAGAGCCTGAAGAGGGCTCATGACGTTTTCTACATCACCACAGCGACCACTCCACCCACCCCGGGCCCCGTGAGAGCCGGCCCGCACCTCTCGGCCAGTGTCTGCTGCTCGTTGATGCCCACATTGAAGAGGACGGGCTGCACCCGCAGCAGCATGCCGCTCTGGATCTCCCGGGGCAGCGCGTCGAACAGGGGGCCCGGTAGCGGGATCCGCACGTTAAACCCATCACTGCAAAACAGTGGAGAGACGCAGAGGACGGGTGAGGGCTGTGACAGGGGAGAGGCAGACAGGGGGCGAGTGGGAAGAGGAAAACCAAGCTGGCCTCGATACGAGAGTGCAGACTGGCCGTCTGGCTCAGTCGTTTCCAAAGTGCTGGTCATGAACCTTTAAAGGTCTGTGAAATTAACACAGAAGACTATGATCAATGTCTTTAACTGAAAGAGAAACAACAAAAAAAATGAAAAGTACGTCACGTGTAGTGAACATAAATTCAAACACAGTGCTAGCTCTGATGATTAAAAAAGTCTTTCTACCGATTTCCAGTGATGACAGGCAGCATGTCAGTCGATGCATTAGACGTGGCCTGAGTGACTTTGAAGGTCACGTTCCTCAGGTCCATGATTCCAAGGCTCATGTCCTCCAGCATGGCCAGCTCCTCACCTGGACGCAAGAGAGGGACGGAAGGCTGTCAGGTAGAGGGGACCTGCCACTCTTCCCGTGGGCTCAGCACGGCCACAGAGCTGGGCACGGATGGGAGGTGACGGGATCAGGCGTGGCTGTGACCAGAGGGGGCCTCTCCAAGCCTCTTCACCAGCGGACTCACGTCTCCCTGCGGCCACATTCAGCAACGCCGCTGGTGGAGACTCGCGCCACGGTTCCCAGCCCTCTCCTGGGGAAGGACAGTGTGGGGAGGGAAACCACGTGCACGGAAGCTCAGAAGGCAGAGCTGGCGCCTTAGAAATGGACAGAGACAGCCACACTGCACACTGTGGCCAGATCCCTCTACTCTGTGGGGCTTGGTATTTATTTGAGGTCTTGTAACTCCAAAGATGGACAAATACTTCTAAAAAAAATTACCTATTTTTACCCTCTCAGAAGAAATAAACAGAAAACAAAAGTAGGGAGAAGAGAGTCCTCTTCGAGGGCAATTCGGAAATATCTATGAAATTTTAAAATATTCCTACCCTTTGACCCAGAAACATTCCCTCTAATAAGGCAGTGGCTGCAGAAATGGGCCCACAAGCGCACAAACACATGTGTGCAGAGACATATGGCAGCACTGTTTCCAGAGGAATAATTCAGAAACGGCCCACATGTCTTACAGGAAATTAGTGCTTAAATAATGACCATCCATCCTCAACTAGAAAGATCGTTAATTGTAACAACCACCAATGAGAAAACAAACGAAGGGGTGTGTGTGTCACTATACAGGAATTTTATTTGGTCCTTACATACTGTGATGATGTCTGGATTTATTTTAATCAGCATGTACTGCGTGTGTAATCAGAAAAATATTTAGGAAGAAAGAATGGGCATCACGCACGTCCACGCTGCTCAAGAACCCCAGGATTCCGGAGGCGCAGGGGGTGGGGGCGCCCCTGGAGTCTCACCGTAGGTGCTCAGCAGGCTCTCAAACTGGGCCAGCAGCCCGATGGTGTAGAGCTGCCGCAGGAAGCCGTCGTCATGCAGGCAGTTCCTCAGCTTGATGATGAAGCCACAGATGAGAGCAGTCAGCTATGGGGGAGACACAAGGTGAGGCCGCTGTGGGGGGGCAGACACCTCCTCACTAAGTGGCTCCCAGCCCGCACTGCGCCCTTGGCCCCGAGTTTCTCTGCCTCCACGGCTCTGGTTGGGTTGCAGCAGCACCCCTTCCCGTCCTCCACCTGGGGTGTGGGGGGCGCTCAGCTCTGAGGCCATGCAGGGCACAGGCCATGGGGAGGCTGCGCAGCACTCCAGGCTTGCTACTCCAATCGCTCCCAAAGGCTCGTTAGGTTTTGGCTCAGCTTCCAACCCAATCTGCCTGGGCTTACTCCTGGGCTAGAACCTTCTGGAAGCCCAGAATTCATTCCCCACAGTGAAAAGGGCCTATATTATACTCACAGATCCAGACCAGCTCTGGCTGGAAACTGAAGTGATCACAACAAAGAACAGAAGTGAGAGAGAACACGGTCACTCTGCAAGTTACCTCAGGGGGAGACTTTCTGTGCGGATGGGCCAGCAGAACCCCAGAGCGCCAGCCTGACCCTCTGTCACTGTTCACTTTGCTAATGTGATAACTGGCATCTGCTAAACTTGTGACATTCACTTGAGTTCTTCCCTTCTCCAAGATCATTACAACAGTTGTGCACAAGCAGCAGAACTAAGGCACCTGCTGTTTTATAAACCAGAAAACACACCGCACTGACAGCAACATCCGTGTCTCCCTCACTAAGCTCCTTTGAAGGAAGAAGGGTGGCCAAGAGGCCCGGGCCGTCCGGAACCCGGCACGCCTTGGGCAGGAGCAGGGCATGTGCACAACCCGCCAGCGCCCACCACCTCCCCGAGGAGAAGCAAGCGTGGACTCAGACCCTCTCCTAAATACATACTTCTCGAGCAGGATTCCTCCCTCTGGGTTGAAATCTAGACCTCCCTAGTAAAGAAACTTAAGAGCCAGAGGCAGGAAAAAGTGTTGCCATCCTTGTTTTTTTCAGTGTGAAGTGAGAAAGATTTTCTAAGGCTGTGTTTTCTGGGGGCTGAGGTGCCCGTGGGCCTGCCGGGGCTTACGGTTTGGCAGAAGACCACATCACGGCGGTACTGCAGGCTCAGGTATGTGGCTATGGTGGGAGCGCTGTCCTGCATGAGCAGGAAGACCATCGCCTTCTTGGCCTTGTCGCTCATCATGGCCACGCAGTCTGTGAGGGTGGTCAGCAGGGGGTAAAGGGCCTCGCTCCATTCACCTGGGCACAGGGAAGGAGTCGTTTGAGGAGGAAAATTTTAAGAGGCAAGTCCCAGAAGCTTAGCGAGTTACGTGCCCCTAAAGCCCCTGTGGCCCCCCCTTCCACCTCCCCACCCCCTCTGCATCTTGTAAATCTGCTTGGCCCAAGCTCTGGCCCAGGACTGGCACCGAGTTCTGCCTGGAACCACCCCGGTCTCCAACCTTCTGGCCTGAAGCTTTTCCAGTAAATAAGCAGCAGACCTACTAGGGACCACTGAGGTAGGCCTGGTCTCCCTCACCTATACTGGGGACTGTACCCACAAATGCTCGAGATTATTCCTTTTGAGGAAAATGACAAGAAAAAGCTTCTGCGAGTCATCTGCAAGTCACCACTTTTCCACCACCCAGGGAGAGAAGGGCCCCCATCCTTCTAGAGCAAAGGACACCCCCATCCTTGTGCAGCCGTGTGCGGCTGGGTTAGTCTCACTTCCCACGTCTGGAGGAGAGGCTGCTCCACCTGGTGTCCCAGTGGGGTTTTCAGCTCTCAGAATGTCCCCTGCTTCTGCCCTCACTTTCTTCCCCAACCCCGGCCTTCCCGCCTGGTGCCCTCTATTTCTGGTTTAGTTTTCTTGTAGAGATACTAGGAAATTGTGACCCTGTACCAAAACAAGTTTTTAAAAAATAGAACCCTGGGGTGGAAAAACAGAGTTAAAGGTATTTTGGGCTTTGGCTCTTTTTTGCCTTCCCATTTAGAAGGGATTTAAAAGAGAAAAGACATGCCCTCATCAGTTCTAACAGGTCACCAAGCCCAGACATAGGCATTTAACCATCATCGCCAGATAAGCCTGCCAGGTGCAGCAAATGCGGCACAGGCGGGGAGTGGAGCCCGGACAGCACACACCCCTTAAGATGAGGGGTGAGTCTCAGAACGGCCACAGACGTTACCGCACTGGGGAGAGGCCACGGGCTGGGCAGGCGGGATGGCCGCCAGAGGGTAAGTGCTGTCTTAAACAGAATCTTGGATGGGAGATAAACAGAATCTAAGAGCCACAGAGAAGGGAGGCTGGCTCCACTGCTCTCAAACTGTACAAGTAGCACTTTGTTGAGAAACAGATTTAGAGAGAGGCCTAAAAGTTGCTAAAGGACTTCCCGATACTCAGTGTTTGGCTAATGCACATTTTCAAGTATATGTAGCCATTCAAACTTTGGAAATTATCTCACTGTGGATGCGGGCACACTATATGTGGACAAGGATTTGTGCCTGTGATGCAAAAAAAAAAAAAAAAAGCAGGCTTAAATTTAGAAAGTCTACAGCAGGAAAGGTCTTAGCAAAGAAGTCACGGTGACAGAGGGCACTGGACCGAGGAGTGGACAATGTGAGTCTCAGGCCCTGGTTTCTGCTAAGCAGTGGTGGCCATGGACATGGCCACATGGATCCTTTCTGGTAAAATGGAAGGGCTCTGCTAGATAACACCCAAGTCTCTTTCTTCCTCTAAAAAATCTCAGAGGCCATGTTTCTGTTTCTCTGAAGAACTCTGTTCACACAAGTAAATTTTATTCAGCAGCATCTATTAAGAAAGACCAATGGCAGCTTAGTTTTAGTAGCCAAATAATTGGGGTTTCATTAACTAAGTCATTACCTAAGAAGTAAATGCTCATAGAGCAAGTAAGTGTTGCTAAAAAAAAAAATTTTACTTTTACTTTGCTTTTCCACTTAATATGCATGTACGTATGTAATTAATATGCATTTTAATCTGAAAATGGTCAGAAAGTACAAGTGGTCTTTGCCGACTAAGCAAATCTTCTCCAGGCAATACTTTTTGACTTTATCTACTTCTCTTTAAAAAAAAAAATCCATTTAAGTATGACTTGGTTTTGTTCCATTAGGGGGAAAAAAAAAAAACAACCCTGAAAAAAGTTGGGAGTAAAGGAAGAGTGGTTAAAAAGCACTAGGAGCTTGTCCTGGAGAAAAGATGTGGGTCTGGGTGGGAGATGCATCTGCCATCTGCCCGGAGAAGGGCTTAGACATGTCTGGATGGCTCCAGAGTTCAACAAGAGGGCCAACCACCATGTATGTAAAACCTGTTAGTGCTTTACCTTTCATCTGTTTTCTCATTTAATCCACAGAGAGAGGGTTATTAGTATAGGTAAGGAAACAGGCTCAGGGAGGTTAAGTGTCTTCCCAGACACACAAAAAGAACGAACATTTGTATGGGTCTAACTCTAAACTCTACGTTATTTCTATTGTGTCAGACTGCTTCTGCCAAGTAGAGAGTAGGACTGGGGGGTGAAAATACATTTGGGGGGAATGCGAAGAAAAACTAAAATTAGAGGGGCGCCTGGGTGGCTCAGTTGGTTCAGCGACTGCCTTCGGCTCAGGTCATGATCCTGGAGTCCCAGGATCGAGTCCCGCATCGGGCTCCCTGCTCGGCGGGGAGTCTGCTTCTCTCTCGGACCCTCTTCCCTCTCGTGCTTTCTATCTCTCATTCTCTCTCTCTCTCAAATAAATAGATAAAATCTTTAAAAAGAAAAAAAAAACTAAAATTAGAAACTTCCAGACAAAATGAATTTCAGGGACAGAAATGGGATGTCTGCCAGGACCTAGCTAAGTAAAGATATTGGGAAGTTAGGTTTGATAACAGGGTCATACTCTGCTCCTTTTGTCAAGAAAGTCTTGCTATGAAAAAAAAAAATCAGTTCAACTCAACAGTGTCCTTAGTGATGTAGCTGATTCACTTTAGGGGGCAAGCTCCTTGTCTAGTTGCTAATCTGTTAATGCTCGATGACTGGTGGCCAATCCATGGACTAGGCATGCTACTTTTGGTAACTTTGAAGGGCTTTTTCAAATCCATGCTCTGCCTTTGCTTTTTTTTTTTTTTTCCTCATTAACAGGGGAGGGAGGGAGAGAGGGAAGGAGAAAGACTAGAAAGAGTGAGAGAAAAAATGTGTGTTTGTGTTTTGACTAAGATCAAATACAGCTCTCCAGGGAAAGCCAAAGGAACTCTTGGCAGGGGACCATTTTAGTCCATTGACATTAACTGTGGACAAGACACCAGGGCTTCTAGAAATGACACAGCTGGTATAAAATTCATGGTGCTATATGAGCTGAGAGGGTTTGCTAAAACCAACAGGGAGAGTTTGGTAAATCCCCAAATCACTAGTTTACTGCACTCTAGATATAAAACAGGCGTCCTGCTACCTCACATTTATATCCAGTCAGAAATATACAATCATCAGACTGATTGGGTAGCTGGTTTGGGGGGGGTAAGCAAAAGCATATTATTTGGGGGGGGGGTCTCATGCTCGCTCTGGGGAACCCACAAGCCACAACCAGGAAATTCAACATGAACTAGAGCAGGGGTCGGCACCCTTTTTCTGTAAAAGGCCAGACAGTAAATATTTTAGGCTTTTTTGAGGATGATGGGGTCCTCGTCACAACTACTTGACTCTGGTATTGTCCCACAAAAGCAGCCAGACAACATGTGAATGAGTGGATGTGTTTTCCAATAAAACGTTATTTACAAGAGCAGGCGGTGGACAGGACTCGGCTCAGAGCTGCAGTCTGCCGACCCCTGAACTAGAGCCATAAACACTGACTCCTACATGCAAAGGCAGCAGAAAGATTCCATTTTTGCACTATCTCCAACTGAGCCTCTTAGCAATGCCTAAGAACTCTGAGCTGCATCCAGACTCAGAAGAGAGAATGCTGTGTGATTGTGAATGCTGCAACATTTGGGTGGCTACACCCCATCCATGTAATGCTCACAAGTTCAGGTGGAATCACAGGAAGTATCATTTACAAATATGCACCCGCGGACACAAATCGTCTGAAAAGGTTTTATGATGGGCAAGCGAGAAAAGCACATGTGGTAGCCTGCTTCAGGCCAGCATCCCTAACCCAAATGGTTCCTCACCAGACCTAAGAGAAGTTGCTAGCTACCTCAAATGAACACACTCCTAAAATATTTCCCTAACTCTGGAAGCATAGGCAGTCTTGGATAATTCAGCTACAAACACTACCTGAGGATTAAAAAAAGACATCTGCAGAAGCCTTGAATGGAAACCACGTACCTGGGCTGGACTCGTCAGGAGGGGGGCTGCAATCTGCACAGAAATGGAGGGCGACACGGATGATTAAGGAGCAGCACAAAGTTCAAACATGAACAACTCAGCGCTTACAGCAACTGCATCAGCAGCCGGCCGTCAGGTGGCTCAGCTGAACAGAGAAGGGGTCAGAGGCCTGCCTGCCTCCTCCCCGAGAAGTCCCACGCAGGCGCTCGGCTGCTCTGCAGCAGCCGAGTCCTCTTGGTGGTAAACACTGACTGACACACTGATTCATTCATTCATGTTGCTAAGACTTCAACATAAAATGCTCTTCAGGTAAGCAAACTAACATATTACAATGTGATAAAGTGCCCACATCAATCACATTGTACGTGGCGGAGCCCATGTTGGCTCAGAGCATCTGGAAGCACACTTGTAATGAGAGAGACTGACCAGCAAATTGATCATCCCCAATTCAGAGCCCGCTGCCCTGACTCACGAGTGGAACCTGGGCTGCAGACTGACAAGCTGAGAGACCCAAAGGTTAGGAGCCAGTGATGAAACCAATATACCACCCCACATCTATGGCAATCTTAAAAATTTAAATCAAATTTAAAACTTTTATGATTTGGGGGAAGTCAAGAATTGCAACGTCCCTCCAAGTCACTCAAAGAATGCCAATTTTAATTCAATTTCACCTACACTGAGTCACATTTCAGCAAGTGAAGTACTCATTTCAATTTTGTATTTCTCTTAAAAACTCTACAATTCTTGGTTAACTGGGCATGCCACCTGGAAGAAGACAAGTCTGGAAAAGGGTCATTTTATGTCTTCAGGGTACTGAAATAAGTGGTTTCAGAGCCCCCCCAAATAGGTGGAACCAGCTGTATGGAGACGTTTACAACCTGGGTTGCCCAGAGGTGGAGGTGGCAAGGGATCCTTCTGCTCTAGTCATCTTTGAGTGACTTCTTCCACTGGCAAAGGGGATAGAACAGAGCAAACGTAAAGGCCCCTGTGAGCTGAAGACTTCAGCCTCTTCATTAGAGCCTCAATATCCTGAGACCATCTACCTAACAGAGAGAAACCCACAGTGGTGTGCAGTGATGCAGAGCAGTGATTCTTAAGACTTCTGTCCAGCTAATCAGAATTACCCCAGTCTTGAGAAAAAAAAAATACAGATTTCTGCCTCCCCATAACCCTTCCTCCAAAATTCTGAGTCTGAGTGAAGAGGAAGGTCGAGGGGCCTGTTTTCATGATCTTCTGTGGTGATCCCAAATAGCTGGGTTGTGACCATTCCCAGAAAGGTATTAGGGGTTAAACTCAGCCAGGTAAACTCAAATCTTTCAGTCAAAGCAGGGAATGTGTGTGTGTATGGTGGGGGGGGGTCTCCTTCAGTACTCCTGGACCAGTGGCTTGCACCCTGAGATTTGATGACCACTATATACCTCCTCTCATCTTAGCACATAATCTCAGGGGCATACGAACCTGGGGTTCAGGTTAAAACAACCTGGTCTGGGGTTTGAATGGCTCTTCAGCGATGAGAAGAGGATGAGTGTGTGCATGGCAGGACATGGAGGCCACCAGAAGGGGTGGCTGTGGGTGGCGATGCAGAGGGGTGTGGGGCACTTGTGACCTGTGCGAAAAGCGGGAGAAGGAAGGCAAGGCTCCTGGAGCCTCTGTGGTTGCAGCTGGCAGGGACTCGTCAGTGGGTCCCGCAGGGGTGCGTGCCTGCCAGGCAAGGCTCTGATAAGTTCTGTGGGAGAGCAAGCTAGAAGGCAGCGTGACTCCTTAGCAGAAGATGGAAACCAAAGACCTAGGACAGGGTGCAGAGCTGGAATGAAAAGTCATGATGCCTTTCAAAGAGGCACAGAGTTCTTCATATATAATAAGTTGGTGTGAACACAACCTGCTCATTAGGCCAAAACAACCGGCCCAGGAAGTTGGAATGGTATAGAGAGTCACAACAGAGCTGGGCTCTGGCCCTTGAGGGTAAGAGACCGGGTAAAATAAATAGCTTGCCGTCTCGTTCTCTCTGATCCTCCTGATCACATCCAGCTCTGAATGGCTTCCTAGCTATGCTCCAGGTTTTTAAATTAGGATCATCCACAGTTAATTTAGTGGCATACGGTTTCATACATTTCTTTGAGTACTGATCAGCCAAGTTAGACTCTCTCAAATGTATGCTTCATATTCCCATGATTACAACAGAGCTGATTTGCATGGCAAACACAAGTCATACCCTAAATACCATAAATAAATGCTCATTTAAATAACTTGAAACTGCATTTAAATTTGTCTACATTTGACCAATACAGGATGTTGCCTAGAAGGAAACTGACATTTAAGTTATGGATATAATAGAATTTCTGATTAAATAAACTCTCTCTGGCATTTTTTTTTTTAAAGCCCAATAAATTACTCTTTTTATATCTGCGGAAAAAATTTTAAATTACAAGCAAGACAATATTGAAGAGAAATGAGCAATGAGCTTTCAGATTTTTTTTTTTTTAAACACACAATTTACATAAAAAAATGAGAAGACAAACAGGACAAAAAAGCTCCATGAAACCATTCACAGGCTTGGGGAACTGAAACTACAGTCCTTCACAGATGGAAGGGTGGAGGACGTGAACACTGTTGAATCAGAGGCTCAAGTGAAATCGCACCCTGGGAACAGACTGCAGGCAGATTGGAAAGGTGAAGGGCATCTTACAAATAAGGATTTATCAAGAGGCTCTGATAAAGGAGCAGCTTCTGCCTTGAATGAAAGCTGTCCAATTCAGAAATGAGAAGTCCTTGCTGTCTGAAGGCTAACCTCCGCACATCTGGGCCTTACCAACCACAGTGTACCACTCACAGAGGAGAGCAGAGGAGGCAGAAGCTAGGTCTGCAGCCAGCTCTCAGCTGCCTGGCCCATGACCCCCTCCAGCTCTTACGGGAAGAGGTGGAAGGCCCCGAGTGGCAGGGACCGAGGACGAGCTGGCGGAGAAAGCGTGCGTGCCCACCTTTAGGGCTACACGTGGGACGGAGTGTCTGGTTGTGCTCTGTCTGCGCAGGCAGAGGACTGTTTCTGAAGCGTGCTGCTTCATGCCAATGTCCTACCATCTACTGAGAGCCCTGCCTCGGGGGCGGTGCTGAACAGAGGAACCTAACTCAGCCTCAGGAGCGGGTTCTACCATCTGAGTGAGTGACCAACAAGTGCCAAGGCAAGATCCCCTGGTGGGTAACAGCACAGCTGGCTGATGACAAGCGGCCTTTGGACGAGTCTGCTGAGCCCACTAACAGCTCTCATCCGGCTGTGTCCCTGCATGATTCACCTTTCCCTTGATTCTACCAATTCCCGGTGCAATCAACAATCTTAGGAGAAAAGCGTCTGCATTTCGGCCTCCTGCAGGTTCTCAGACTGGTTTACAAACCAGAACAGCCCAGGAGCCCCACCCTCACTGACAGGGCAGTGACACCCAAGACGGCCTTGAGATTCTGCCTTTGCTGGACATGCAGATTCGCACACAGGCTCCACGGGCGTGGACTACGGGGGGCTTCTGCCCTCACCACCCGCTGCTCTGTGCACTGTGACATCCGGCTCTGCCTGACGGCCCTCCCTGCAGTCTGCGTGGGGGGAGGAGGTCATGGAGTCAGACACAGACAGACAGACGTAGCATGAGGTGGAGGCGGCATGAGTGGGCACCATGGATGCATACGCACGTGTGGTCAGGTGAGGATGGCATGCAGGTGAGGATGGCATCGAGCAGACGGTGGAGGGGCATGGTGAGGAGGGCACATTGCAGAAGGGGTCTTCCGGTTTGATCCAGTAGGCGTGGCTGTCCCGGTTACCTTTCTTGCTGGTACAGCTGCCCGCGCACGGGAAGACATCCTCACAGCCTTCGCCGTGCAGGCGCTCCTTCTGCAGCAGCTTGTCCACCCGCTGAATGATGCACTCCAGGCTCTTGTCTACATTCAGCCACACTTTTTCCTTTCCAAACCAAAAGGGCCCATCTGGGTCAGCTGTCCCGATGGGCAAAGCAGAACAGAACACCACCCCTCCCCGTGCCCCCCTCCCCACCCCCTCACACACACACTGATTCCCCTACCCTGGGCCACTGTGATCATTAAAATACCACAAATTTAGAAGTATCAAGATTAATTCAGAATTCCCTATTACAGTTGTATTTGCTTTTCAAAACACAAATCAGTGTACTGCGGTTATTGTTTTTAAAGTTGGAGACATGTTTGCTAGTAACTGTCACGGAGGTCGGACAGGACTTCCCGGTGCCTTCCAGAGCTGGCAGCAGGACCACAGGGCCCGGTGAGCCAGCTCATCCCTCCTCCCTCTGCTGCAGACCTCCTACAACCATCAAACACACAGGGGACTGAGGGAAGGTAATGGAGGCAGCCGGTCACTTCAGACGGGAGCAGTGGGGAGGTGGGGAGGCAGGGCTGGGAGTGGTTTGCAGAAACCCACACCAAATACAGGACCCCGGGGCAGGGCCGGAGGAGCCCTTCACTGCTGACTAAAACCTCCGTGCCTCACAGAAAAATGCCTCCAAGCCATAGTCCTAAAAAATGACAAAACGAGTTGTGTGATGTGTCCCTCCCTCAGGAGAGACAGGTGCGGCTCTCAGGGCCACTCTGTCAGGAAGCAGGATGCAACGCATACAATGTCAGGGGCAGCATCTCCAGACTCCTCCCCTATCCCCCCAAAATACAAATGGCCCTGGAAGGGCTAACTGCGTAGAGAGCTTTGAGGAAGCAGGGGGCCTGGCTGGTCTTTAGGAGACAGTGACAGGAGACGGGCCTCCAGCGGGGCAAGGGCTCCATGGAGAACGTGGCCCCCTTTACAACTGGGTCTGACACCAGCCTGGCCTGCAGCAGCCCTGCCCCTCAGACAGACACAAGGTGTGAAAATGCCATCTCCCTCCCTAACTCAGGGGGCCCAAGAGCCACCCAGGAAGGAGACCTGGAGCTTGTCTGCAAAGCAGCCAACCTGGTAGGCACCTCTTGGCGGGGAGGGGCTGGCAAGAGGCTTTGAATTTTTCAACCCAAGCTCAGTGGCAGAATGAGGGCCAGGGGTAGCAGACTCACCCACTCCTCCTCATGCCAGTCCACCTGCAGAGAAGACCGGCTGTTCCTCCCCGTCCACCTGGCCATGAGGGTGTCCTGGTCGTTCCTAAGCATCACCTGCTCCTCCTCACTCGACGTGGGGGAGGCCCTGGAGGCAATGTAGTCGGGCCGCGCCGCGTTCAGCCCGTGGATGGAGTTGGCCAGCAGCTTGCAGTCGCACACGGTGACCAGCTGCCGGGTCTGCAGCACACACAAACCAAAGCCGCTGAGGCCGGTCATCTCTGAGAGCTCAGGAACTATCCTGAGGCCCAGCTGTGCACCCTTCTCCATACAGAAGCCCTTGGGATGGCTGAGTTTAAAGGCTCCCACAAAAAGACTGGACGACACAGGGAGAATGGGGAGGTCGAGAAATCTCTGACATTCTTCGGTCCCTGCCCGCCTCTGAGCCTGACATGACTCAAGGGAGGGCCTGAAGAGAGCCCACTGTCCTTGCCTTCACTGATGTCCTCGGCTGTCCTCTCTGGTTCCAGGGGACAGGCAGGAATTTGATGCGATCACTTAAGTCTTATCTTTTTGCATCTAATACTCAAAGCCCTGGACTTTGGGCAGTGGGACTCTCAGCACAGCACTGTGGTTCTGGGGAATTCTGTATGCAGCAGGAGTTCTGTGGCTCATAATTTTCCTTCTGATAACATCATCTTTCTTTTCCAAGTGGATCTAATTTCCAGCTCTCGATCTCTTTGCTGAGTGAACACATGTGAAGGATATAACACATTCTGATCAGGAACAGCACCTCACCCCAGCAAAGTGGGTGTGAGTGGGGAAGTGTGATCAGAATCTGTATACGTGTGTGTGTGTGTGTGTGTGTGTGTGTGTGTGTTGAGAGACTGAGTAATGTGAAAAAGCATCATCCATCAAAATGATCTGGTATATCTAATGCCCCAGTATGGACCAATATTTATATATTCATATCTATCTATACATTTTTTTAAGATTTATTTGAGAGAGAGAGAGAGAAAGGGAGAGAGTGGGGATGCACACATGCATAACTGGGGCAAAGAGCAGAGGGAGAGAGAGAATCCCAAACTGACTCCTCACTGAGCGCAGAGCCTGACATGGGGCTTGGTCCCAGAACCGTGAGATCATGACCTGAGCCAAAATCAAGAGTTGGATGTTTAACTGACTGAGCCACCCAGGCGCCCCTAGATATTTTTAATCAGGATCAAATTACAGTTAATTAGAAAATGGCTTATTGATTATGTGAAAGCCAATGAAGTTATATTTCCTTTATTGTATGTCTGTACAATAATGCAGCTTTTTTCAAATTCCAATTCAATAAAAATTAGAAAAAATGCACTGAGTAGGCAGTTGCTAAGAAAGCCGTGGAACGACCTCAGCCTCCAAAATGGACCCCATGGACTTGAGGGAAGACACATCTGCATGAAGCAGCAGCTGGAAATCACCTGCCCTGGGTGCTGTCCTTGGCCTGCCCTCATCCAGCTCTGTGACCACAGGCAAATCACCAAAACTCCCTGGGCCTCTGGGGGAACTAAACCTGAAACTAGATCTTCAAGGTCATCCCAATGTCACCTTTGGAACGGATAGCTCTAAGCATACATGGCGTGCCCAAGGGTTTCCAGAAACCCAAGGGAGCCCCCATCTCACATGTAGCAGGGTAGTGCCCCCTACCTTGTCTGCCAGGATGGCGAGGGTTCTTTCGAGGCCAGTGGCAGACCTGTCCTTGGCTGCCCTCGAGAGCCGCTCTGCATAGTAACTCACTTGGGTTTTCAGGGTATTGATCTGGGCAATGATCTCCTTGGCTCTGATGATGTCCTGTGGTATGTAGATTATGGACTGGCAGCTGGATGGTGTACTAGAAAGGATAAGAACAGAGTCTAAGGGGTCTCCTCAAATCTAAGAGGATGGCAGCAGTCTCCCAACCCCAGCCCACAACCAACACTAAGTAAAGCGTTCTGATCCTCAGGGGTGTTCTCCTAGGCTAGTCTAGCTGCTGATGGGCAAAAGTAAATCTCAAGAGATTCTTTCTGTCCATATGGTAGAAGGCTTTGAAATATTCAAACACAGTGAAGTCCTCTGTCTCTATCTGTATGTGTCTGTATTCTTACGTAAATGCATATACAGATATTGAATCCAGTAATTACCCAAATGCTCGTAGCCTTGCACCTGAGAACCTCGCCTGTCCATGTATCAGCAGTACTGAAGTGGAGGCACGGGGTCTGCTCGTCTCAGAAGGGGTCAGTTTATCACAGTGAAGGGAGACTACCATGGGGGCCAGACTTTCCAGAAGAGACCTGTTTCTTCATTGGGCCAATCTTCAAACTTTCTGTGCACACACCCAGAGTGCTCCGCCCTCACACCTCTGACCCCAACAACTAGACTTCCTTCTCCAGGACTTCTCTACCTTGAAAAATAATGTTCTATCAGACGAAGGAGGTGAAGAACATGCCAAGCCAGAGGCCTGGCCTGGACACCTCAACCGTTTTTGAAAACCTGGCTCTTCCTCCTTCCTTCGTCACCAAGCAGTGTGTGATCTGAGGTCTTAAGATTGACGTCAAAGCCACAGCCCAGCCCCTGCACGGCACAAACACCAGCCTCCAGAGAACCAACTCGTGTCCCGGCTGTGTGGGGACTGGCTACCGTGTTTGGCCCTTCTAGATGGAGGTGATAAATCCAAGTCTCTCAGCCAGGATTCTCAATCAATCTAATAGTATAAAGTTAGTTTTCAGACCATCTGAGGAAGTCAAGGAAAGCAGAGAGTAGTTTAATGCCCCAGTGGGGATGTCTCCTGTGATCTGAAGTTGTGAGCTCTAGCTGGAATGGGAGTCTTAGCCTTCACTGGTCCCCATCCTTCTCAGCCTTCACAGGTCCCCCTCAAAGAGCTGCCCTTTGGGTTTTGGGGAAGGGAGAAGGTGGAGCAGCACGACCTCCATCGTTTCCCTTGGATATGAGGACTTGAGGCCCTCCACCCCCACTGGGCTCTTTGGACCCCGAAGGCAGGTCCCCAAAACACCTCCCTTGACAGACTACGGTGTAAACATGCAAAACCCAAAAACCAAAGCATCCCGGAAAGAAACAACACCCCAAGCCCACATACCACGATAAAACACAATGGATTTGCCAGAAGCCCATGCAGCAGACCACAACCAAGCCTGCATGATCTGAGAACTAATTTCACAGCACGATGTGCACACAACTACTTTCCAATCTGCAATCACTCTTCCAAATGAATAGCTGCCATTTGACAACTGAGTCTTAAAAACACAATCTCAAATAGGATTTTTAAAAATCTGTCCTTCCCTGGCCCCAATCTTTAGAGCACACACACAATGTGTGCTTCTGTAGATATACATGTATGTATGTAGATGGCCATGTACACTTCGACCAGTACATACGGTCCCCCCAGCCCGAAGGAGAGCACCGCCCCTACTCACCTTGTGTTCTTACAGGTCACGTTCTAGTAACAGTAATCTGGGGCTTATGCACAGGAAGCTTGTGGCGGGGGTGTGGAAGAGTAAATTTCAAAGAGCTGCTGTTAGGGGATGATGGTGAGTATACAGGCACATGTGCTCAGTCCTAGTCCTAGAGATAGGGAAAGCCCCAGAGGCCTCAGCTGTCCTGCTGTCCCCGGCAGAGCACTGCCATGTCGGGCAGGACCCCGCCACGGCCCCCGAGCTCCCCCAGCTCTGAGATGCTGTCACCACGCGAGGTGCCACCGCAGAGCCCTGGCTGTCGCCTGAGCAAGCACGCTGGGCACGGCTGAGGGGGCCGGGGGCAGCCTCGGAGCCCCAGGGCTGCAGACACAGTGCTTTCCGGCCACCATCTAATTCTTTGGTAGGAAAAAAATCACTTGGTCATATCAATTCTTGGTTTGCCCTCGGGGAAAATCGGCCCAAGGAACACTGTTTTAAAAATCTGCATAAATTATATTCACAAAAAATGGAAGCTGGCTTCATTCCCATTAGAGGTGATGGTGAAGTGAAAACAGAAACCCTAAGACTCTCGTAAAAGAGGCCAGAAAGGGATTCTTGACCACACCGATGGGTGGACCTGAAATGCCAGCACCCGGTGACTTGCCTGGCCTGGGAGAAACAGGGTCCTTCCTCAGGGCGCAACACAGCAACAAAGTGCCACTGGATTTGGAAGGTAAAATGGTAGACTGGAGATGGGCTATTCATTATCAAAGAACATTGCAGTTGGAAGAGAGAATTCTGTCTACGAGGCTATAACCAGGGCCCCCCGGTGGCACCGAGGGCTGAAGCACCTCACAGAGGAGGGGACAGTACCGGCTTTCTCTACAGGAGAGCAAGACCCAAACAGACACTCTCTCCACACACAGAAAACTCACCAACACTCCTCAAAACTGCTAAAGAAAAGAACCAAAACGAAATATTAGCAGTTAGCAAACACCAAATGCAAAACAAAAAATTAAAAAGCCAAGTTATCTTTTGTCAAAATCCTTGAAATTATGTGTTGAGGCACCCACTACAGGGACCATAAAACTTATGAGCCCAATGTGCTTATTCATCAGAGCAATGTCCACGTCTGTGCGCAAACCCCAGGGGGACATTGCACCTGTGGGCCAAGTTCTGTCCACATTTAAAGTACAGTTCAAATAATGAAAATCATTTCTACAGGTGATTTTAATAACATTAGAAGGAAATTAAATGAAAATTTGTATTATTTATTTGAAATATACTCCAGGAGCATTTTGGAAGTAATGATTTCTGAAGTTAATATACTGGGTAATCAGGTATCAACATCCTGACCTTTCTGGGACAGGGACGGCCAGTGGCGCCCCCTCCTGATGGGCTTTCCCCTCCAGGGTCCCCATGGCATCCTCAAATCTCCCACTCACACCCCCACACAGCCACATGCAATGGAGTGACAGACACACGCTCTCTTGGCTGTGCAGAGCTGTGGGGAGCACTGGAAGCTTCCTTTTCATCATAATTCCCAGGGAACAGCAGAGTCAGTGACTCCTCAGGTGGGTCTGGCTTGTCTGGAAGGGGAAGACCCCTTGGTGGGATCAATCAAGGTCAAGCGTGCTGTCTGGGGGGCCTCCGAAGAATGTCGCCCGCCCTGAAGGCTGAAATTCCCCTTCCTAACCACTGGCCCTTCCTTGTTCTTCCTCCTGCTGCCTCCAGGGTCCACTTGGCTCCGGGCCACCTGTGCACACATCTGAGCGGTGATTTCTCCTAGTGTGCTCTCTTCCACCTGCCGGCTCACCCCTCCAGCCTCACCCCATGGGCAGAGAAGCTCCTAGCTGCATCCCTGATCCCCTTGGTCCAGTGACCGGCCACTGTACCTGACCTTTCACCCCTTCCTTGATCCAGTCTGCGGTAAGTTTTCTCAAGCCGCGTCTAGACTCCTGGCCATGGCAGCCCAGAGCCTTGATTCCCTGGCAGGTGCTAATGCTCTCCACCTGGCCGCCTTGCCGACTCTCTTGATGCCCCCTGGGCTTTGGCTTCACCTTCCCTCCAACTGTTCCATTCTCCCTTGGTAAGTCCCACCCTTTCAACTCCACGTTCTGCACAGGCTGATCCACAGTATCTTCAGCTTGTTTCTTCACTCCTCAAGGACCTCTCTGCACCCCACCTTCTAGGACTCCCTGCCTGGTCTGGCCTTTGCATCTACAGAACCTTGCTCCATCGACTTCTCTTACCAACAGTTCTTCACTCTCGCCATCCCCATCAGCCTGAACACATAATCAAGTGATAACCGTTCTCCCTAGACAGACACCTGCATGCCATTTCCTCTACTCCATGGTCCAAGGATCTCACAGGACCATCTACACTCATCGCCCCTACTTCTTATACTTGCCCCCCTCATCTATTTAAATCTTGACGGGTGACATTCTGGAAGATCACCAATGCCCCCCACATATCCAACACAACAGCTGGGGTCTGTGGCTCTCTCCCCGTCACCCCTGCTCCAAGCATGGCAGTGCTTGCTCCAAGTGGTGCTGTTGACTTGTCCGCTCCCAGGCAAGGCCAGGAGCCCCTCGGGGCCAGGCCTACCTCTGTCACCCCTGCATCCAGGGTCACCAGCGTGTGGCCCCGCACTGAGCAGGCTGCCAGCAAGGCCAGCCCTCCCCCTCAGCTCCTGTTCTCAAAGCACCACGCCTCAGGAATACCTCCCTGCACGCTCCATGATGTCCTTCCCCAACTGCCTACCTGGCCATTTCCTGTTTGGACTGCAGCTGCGTGCAGCTCCCCTCCCACCGCCCGCCCCACTCCAGGCTTCTTAAAACAGGGAATGTTTACCACTGCAGTTGGTTCAGGAAAGGAAGCACTCTCTTGCAGGCTTCACGCTTTGTGGCGTTCAACACACACCGCACACCTGCGTGACAGACCAGGGGCTCTAAGGGACAGCTGAGGCGGCAGAGAGTCCACACGGGGTAGCCACCTTCCAGGGGATTTCTGTTGTTTTTGCTGTTCCTTTGCAGGGTCAGGACCACTAATCAGGTGCCCTCACGCCCCGCCCCCCAGCTCAGTCACACACACAGAAGCACCCGGGCCACGAGGCAGTTCTTCCTGCCACACAAAAGCACATCGGATGGCTGGATGTTTTTGCGGTCACCTCTTGATTTTTTTTTTTTGACCTAGGAAGCACCAGACAGCTGTACAAGGACACATGAACACCCTCCAAGTACTTACTGCTTCTTGGTCTCTTCAAATTTGTGCAGCTTTTTGCGGAGACCTCCTGACTTAAAACCTTGGCAGTGTGCAGCTGGTGCTCCGATGGTGACAATGTCGTAGTTCTGATCTGAATGACAGAAAGCTCTCCTCCGTTACTCTGGGCTCAGGCCTGTGGGCAAGCCAGCTACAGGGATATGCACGCAACTCGGGGACCCCGCCCCGCCAGCCCATTTCCAAGCAGCCCGCTCCCTCAGCCCCGCAGCCTCGATTGTCCGAGGGCCCCTGGAGCCCAGCACCATCATCTCAGCAGAGAGGGGGTTCCTGCACGTCTCCAGATGGGGCCACAAAGGGCCGGAGGCAACCACCGGTAACACTCAGCTTGCACCCCTCCTTGAGAAGGATAACTGACAGGCGACTTGCTGCCACAGAAACACAGAGGGAAGCTGGAGGGAGGATGGACAAGGGGAAGGAACAAAGGGAGGGAAAAGCCTAGGAAACAAAGACCTTATAAGGGTCCTGTGCCATGTCTCTTATCTGAGTTGCCAGGCAGAAGCACACACAGGGAAGGCTGCACACGTGTGGGGCAGCATGGGGACCAAGCACATGGGGGGAAAGGAAGTCAAGTGTGATTTAGTGAGAGGAACAGAAAAATAGTTACCTGACCCCCCATCGTCTTGAACTCTCATCCTCTGTATGTGCAAGTTTGTGGGAACGAATTCTAACTTTTTATCTGCTTTCAAACTGCTCGCTTTAAACGAGGGACCTAAGAAACGGGATATGAGAAAATAAGGACCCGTTGACATGTACCCTGCATTCAGAAATGGGGGCGAGTAGGACAGTGATATTCTGAAGAAGCGGCCGCACATAGGCAGGTATGTGCTGGTAGTGGCCGAGGAAATTCTGAGTTGCCCGTGAGCACATTTCATTTCCAGAGAGCAGGCTGGGTAAAACACTGGAGGGAGGGCAGCTCACTGGCCAGAAGACTGGTTCTGGGTGCTCAGGTGGTGAGCAGAGCCAGCTAGGAGCAGCTTCAGAAGGTTACGGTTACGGTGCCCTGCCCTCCCATGACTCAGCTCTCAACTGAAAAGTCTGACATAAAGACTGATTTTGTGCAACACGATGTCAGCACTGCTATAAAAAGCAAATGGGCCCATGCCAGGGACTGCCTGTTCCAACCCTGGAGACCGCCATCATGCAAGATCTAAGAAATTGGTTCAACCAGAGCAACACATCTCATTTCCACAAAGAGATGAAAAGGTCTGCTCCTCACCTCAGATCTATCAAGATAAACAAATGCTACATAGCATGGATCCTGGCCCTCTGAAACACAAACCTAAACTCGGGGGGTTAAGGAGGTTGGATGATGTTTTATAATTAATATCTACAATCTTGTTCCTACCATCAGAATCCAAAACTAATTAAGAACTACATGCCTAGAAAAAGAAAGGGGTTACAAATTCACTGACAATCAGAAGAAGAAATAAACTTACTCTCTAATGATAAAAGGTAAATCATACCAGTATACAAAATGCAGACCAGCCATTGTCTACTTTGCATTTTGTGCTAGGAGACTGTCCTCCAGGGCCTGATACTTACAGGAGGCCCAGAGATCAGCAGCAGTGGCATCCTGGGAGCCTGTCAGAAATGCAGAATCCTAGATCTGCACTGCAGCAAAATCTTCAGGGACCAGGATGCACACTGACACTTGAGATGCTCTGCTCTGGAAAACTCAAGCTCATGTGGGTTTCCCGCTTTCCCAGGTAACAGGTATCTGGCATGGGTAGGTTCCTAAGTCTCTTCAGCTATATGCTGCCAATACACTTAGACCTGCCCTTCAGATTCAAACCAAACCCAAGGGCACCGTCGTCTTGACCTGACTGTATGTGACTTCTTCTCAGCCAAGTTCATGGACAGGTTCATATCAAAACCTTAATATTAAGGACTTATGATTTTCTTTTAACCCTGAAATCCTATTATGTAGTGGGGGGGAGGGAAGAATCTGAAGAGAGAGAATAAAGTAATGAAAAACCAAAAAATTCATTCTGTTTTGGAATAAAAAGGGAATTAGTTAAGAAAAGTCTTCTAAATCTACCCTTAGAGTATTTTGAAAATCAAACAGGATCTTTCAAGAAGAAATGTGAGGTGTCTATACTTAAAATGTAGAACTCCACTCAGACAATTCAGATGTTCAATACAAGGACTGTTGAATATTTAAACTGGGAAATCTAGGAAACCACTTTGTCTCAAAGCAAACGATTTACGTCTTTTGGGGCATTTCCCTTGGGCACTTTAGACCAAGACAAAAAATAACATGAACCAGCAGCCTGTGATTTCGTCTCTCCTAAATTTCATCCTACATGAGTTGCTTTGGCAGATGACACCATAGAAGGAATTTTTAATGCAATTCACATACTCGTCTTCTTAATTAAGATCTGAAAAAGCCATATTCAAAAGAATTCACACCTACATGAGAATCTATTTTTAAAAATCCATTAGCGTGTCTGTCAGGGAGAGTATTTGAGCCAGGTTCTCATTTTCTAGCTAGGAAAATGGAGACCCAGTACCCACCTTTGTACTGATGGAGGTCAGTCAGGTTCTCCTGGTACGTGAGGATGATGGTCTGGTACTGAGTGACAATCTGGCGCCGGAGGCTCTCCCAGCAAGGGGACAGATCCCCCAACTCCTCCAGCTCACACACTCTGCAGGGAAGACACACACACACACACACACACACACACACGCACACACATGAGGCCGTGGAGGTCTCTTCCCTGGGAGAGGCACAGGTGTCCCAACCAAGCAGGAGAACAAAATGGACATGGAAGTGTGGTCAATGCCAGGGAGGGCCTCAGACAATGGCTACACTGCAGGTCTACACAGCAAGCAGTGGGGCACGGGACACACCACTCTAGGAGGACCGGCTGTATGACGGGCAGACCACTCACCACGTGGAAAAGCACAGAGGCGCTTTTCACAGACCCTGTCGAATGTCTGGGGAAAACTAAGTGGAGGAGAGGGGCTCTAGGGGAGTGGCTCCTTGCCCGGAACCCCACAGGCCAGGTGGGACCCTCCTGGGAGACGAGATGAGTGGAGGCCCGTAAGTGACTGCTTGAGGCCATCTCACTCACCTGTCTCGTCCAGGGGCCGTTGTTAGCTTCTCACTGCCCCCATGTTCTAGGGCGGCCTGTGCCTTCCTACCCGGCCCCTCAGAACATTGCTGCAGAACCTAAAGCTGCCAAGTGGTGGTCCACAGTTGGTCGGCCGGGGGGGTGGGGGGGTGGGGGCCTGCTCTGCTGTGCTCACCCAGCCCCCTCTGTTTCAGGGCTGTCCCCTGGGGTAAGGGACAAGGGCCACAGGGGGCCGGCAACTTTGGCTATGCTTTCTTTCTCCACGTGAGTAATGAGCTATCTAAATCTAAAAGCAGCAGGAAGGCAGGGGAAGGGAGAAGAGAAGAAAGAAGAGGATCTGTCACTTCCAGAAAAATAAAAGCTATAGAAGAACTGAAACATAACTATCTTAGCTCAGCAGTAAATAACAGCTACATAATCAGCATAATGAAAACACAAGATGGACTTCAAAAAAGGGCGGGGGGATAACCCTATTAGGAAGCTGGGGAACGGGAAAGTACAAAAGACCTAAGATCTTCATCACAGGGAATCAGTAGCTAACCCCCAAAACCAGTTAAGAGAGCACGCTACACATTTATGTAGCAATACAATGGTAAACACTAGAACGGCTAAAAGTGGTTGTTTCTAGGAAGCAGATCAGGGAGTAGAGCGCCCCAAGACTTAGGTCGTTATTAAAAGCCTTTTGGCACTATTTGTTTTTTTTTTTATACTATGCATGTTTTCCTTTGTGGGGGAAAAAAAGCTAATTTTATGGAATCTACCAGATTGTCTGAAGTTAAAAAAGAAAGTTGTACCATTTTATTATGAAAATAGCAAAATCAAGGTAAAAGAGTATGCACGCAGGCGAGGCCGTGGTGAGACCTACGTCCTCGCTCACTGCTGGCCGGCTGGCCCTGCGAGCCGCGGGGCTGCTCATGAGCACGCGAGCCCCATCTGCTGGGGTTGCTGCTGGACCCTCTCCCGTGTCTCCGCCCGTCCTCCTGCTCCTTCTCCTTCTAAACGGGTGTCCGTTTACTGTTACCATCTCACAGGGGCCTTCCCCTGATCACTCCCCTTCTCACCACCCCTTCTAATTTCTGCTCCCAGCTCACGCAGCCAGGGCTCGGGGCGTGGCCCCCACCTCTCCAGAGGGCCTGCCTTCCACGGTCTGTCTCGCTCATCGAGAAGTCTCCCCACACCACACACAACACCAGCCACATGCGTGAAACTGGTGGGAAGCACAACAACAACAAAACCCTCAAAACCAAAGTTCTTGTGAAATGAGTCAACTCTTCGAAGTTATCATCTAGTACACCAAATAATGGGAATTTACACCACAGTTAACATTATAACATGAACACTGAAGATCTGTGCAAATGGAGATGGGAGTTAGGAAAATCTGCACAAATATGGAAAAGCTGAAAGGAAAAATTTTTTAACTAAAATAACCATAAAATAGTACACATACAGACATAAAGCAGCTCATTGCATTATTCTTGTCATTCTTAGGTTGAGTTTTTTCAAGATAAAAAATTTTTTAAAAATACCTATATTCGAGCAGTGAGATCCTGACTGCACTGTGTCCTTTCATGTTCTTATATTGTGTTCATAATTAACACCGTTTTATGACAGCGAGGAGAAAGGACATGTGAGGAAGATGGGCAACACGCTCAGCAGGCGCTGAACCCCCTCTCCGGCTCTCCCTGCCATGGGATCAATGGAACATGCCCCGGGCTGAGGGATACGGAGGACCAGAGGGCCCGGATGGGTCCCTTGTAGCTCTCTGTAGCCTCTATCACTGTGGCCCTCCCCTAGGAAACCGCTGACCCGGGTGCCCAGGACTCAAGAATGACCAGCCACTCCTAACTTTCTACAGGCCGACTGAGAGGGGAAAGGAGGGGGGAAGGGAAGGGAGTAGGCACTGTGTGCTGGGCACACCTTGTCTGGTGCTTCCCGCACCTTGTCTGGTGATGGCCTCGCACAGGAACTCAGGAAACAGGTGAGCAAACGCGGGTTTCAGCAAGCCAAGGCCGCCGAGCAAGCAAGTAGCGGTGGCTGGGTCAGAAGCCAGCCTCCCGGCTGCCAGTGCTCTACCCACCACATCTAAGAACTTTCTGGAAAGGAAGGGGCAGCCGGCCTGCCTCACCTGGCCGCGTCTTCTTCCAGCAGGAGCTTCACGAACTGCCGGGGCACGTGCAAGGAGAGCACGCTCTCGGCCATCTGCTCTAGGATCCGCAGGTGGTTGCCGTCCGTGGTGGGGAACCGGTACATGCGGCAGATGGCGCCGCCGAACACTGAGGTGGGGGGTGCGGAGGGGACAGAGGCTGTGTGTGAGCTGGCAACACACCTGCCGCGTGGGCCCTCCTCCCCCGAGCCCTCAACGGTGCTTCTTACTGTTCCTCTCGAGAGAATGAGAATATTTAAACCAAAGCCCACCAAAATGACCGAGCCTGGCTGCTCCCCACCACCCACCACATGCAATCGTCTTGTCCCAGGACGTGGAACCGACTCTGGAGTACAGGGGCGGGGGCGGGGAGGCTGTCAGTCACCAAACCCGAGGTAACACGAGAAAGAGTGGAATGAAGGAGGGACCCCCCCCACACCCCTTGCTTGGAATATTACGAACGCCACATGCTGGCGAAAAGCACGGCACTTAGAAATGTGGCAGGGAGGTGACAATCGAGGGGGTGCCTGGCCGTGACAATCCAAGCAGGTGGGGAGGAAAGGGTGAGCACGGGCCCGAGTGGACACTCACAAGAGTGGCAAGAGTACCAACGGAGGAAGCTGTTTACCCGATTTCAGTAAAGTGTCTTTTCGCAACGAAGCATACTTGGATCGGATTCCCAGCGCCTCTGTCAAGCTCTCATCAACGGGGAGAACCATCTAATGAGGTGGACAGGAAAGCAGAGAAACAGTGAGACCCAGACAACTGCAGGACACTCCGCAGAAATGGGGCCCATGTGCATCATCAAGGTACTCTTAAAATTAGTATCCACCATTCACTCTACAGTAATAACCTGCCCCAGCCACAAATTAATCCACCTGCCAGTGCACTGCACTCAGGCCACGAAACATGATTTTCTAGTGACCAGGTCACTTCACCTGGTCCTGTGGTGTTGTGACGTACAGAATGAGAGGCAGGAAACAGACGATGCTCAGGAACGTTTGCACAGCTGACCTCCCGGGCTCGTTTTGGGTAAAATGAGCTAGCTCTGTATTTTACAGCAATGACCCCTTACCAGTGTTTGGTATATTGGAATTGTAGTCTGAGAGCATGAGGGGCCTGTCCAAGCGACGGTGCACGGGAGACAGGGTGCCAGAGAGGGCGTGGAGGAGGGGAGAGGAGGAGAGGTATGTGAGATGCTGCAATGGGTGTGTGGATGGGAGGCGCACATAAGGTGGCTGTGGGGCACACGTGTGCCTGGGAGGGAAGCTCTAACAAAACAGCAAAGGTAATCCAGGCCTCATTCCCAACACCCCCCAACCCCCCTTCCCCGCCTGACTGCAGCTCCTCTAGCCGGGCCCCCACCCAGCAGAGCCTTGCATGTCATGCTCCCTGAAGGACCCCCCTTCTCACTACTTCAAGAAGTGCCTAGGGGGGATGGGCACGTTCTGCCTAGGGGGCCCTATCTTTCCCTTCCCAGAGCACAGAGGCCAAGTCCATCTGGACAGATCCTCGGACTCCTTCCAACAGAGAGGAGCAAGGTGGTATGCTCACCCTCCCATTGACGGTGTCCAGAGACCGGGTCACAGGGGGCCGCTGGTCTGACTTCTCCTCCATCTGCCAGCCGATCACGGTGATGTTACCCACGCGGTCACTCTCCGCAGATCTGCCATGAGCAAAGTGCTTTGATAAGAGGCATTGTACCTGCGCTTCGTTTTCTGCTTAAATGCAAAGCTCAGCCACCCTGGGTCATCGAGTGGTCAGTCAGCCAGCATTCACTACATGCACAGGCTCTGGGGGAGGCAGACAAGGAAACTGTGAGAGCAGAGAGGAGGGCTATGGCTGGGAGGAGACACAGCACCACAGAGAAGTGTAGATATGCCTGGGGTACAGTTGGAGGGCAAGAGCCAATGCTTGCTTAGGAGGCACCCATCAGCCCCTGGGCTAACCTCTGTCCCCGGGAGTGATGAGGACGCATCCCGGAACCAGGACTAGAAAACACCTTCTTCTGGCACTGAACCCCCTTCTGTTCCTTCCCACCCACCCTTAAGCTTCGATTACACCCAAGACCTAGGCCTGGACCCCAAGTAAGTGCAGGGTTTCCCAAAGCATCCCAAAGATGGTATGATACAGTTAATGCCACTCTAGCCCTGCTCAGCTTCACCCCTGAGACCCCTCAGGCTGGCTGCCAGCAGCCTGGGCCCATCCGCTCCATCCAGGGAGGCCCCAGGGATACCCTAACGCCTCAGGCCTTTTATTTAAGGTGTCTGACTTAGCCAGGTTCTAAACTTTTATGTGGTCACACATACTGACAATTTCCTTTGTGGCTTCTTCTCACTGTTCTAATGCCTGGAGAAGGGCTTCCCCATGTTCTCTGCTCAAGAGTCCTATGTAGCCCCTTTTTAAAAGGAAGATGTCCATTTCTTATATTTAGCTCTGGTCCAACTAGAATTAGTTCTGGCACATATTTTTCTCTAGCAGCCCTTTGCCCCACATGACCCCTTGCATTTTCTGTAAGACCAGTCCTTCCTGCTGAGGCAGGCTCCCTATGCACATCAAGGGCTGAGCCAGGTTCTCGCTCTGCCCAATGCCTGCGACACTGCTCTCACCGTAGCTTTAGAATGGTGCACTGTCCAGCAGGTGATTAACCCTTGTCAAATTTCTTTTGCTATTTTGGACTATCTTCCCAACTTTTACATCATTTTGAAAAAAAGAACACCATGTATTGGGGTTTCAGTGAGAACTGTCCCCGAAATGAATTTGGGAAGGGCTGACATCTTGACCCCTTTCATCTTCCTTTCAGGGATACAGTGGGGCTCCCCTTCCTTCCTTCCTTCCATAAATATTTATTGAGCACCAGGCTCTGTTCTAGGTGCTTAAGATACAGCAATGAAGCAAAGCAGACAAAAACCCTACTGCCTAGGAGATCATATTCTATTGGGGAGGGAAGAGATGATAGACAAAAATATTGAGTATTATCAGATAGGTTTTCCTTTAGGTCTGCATAGAAGAGGGCTCACATTTCCTATGGATACTGCACATTTCCATTCCCTAACAGGTCCTCTGATGGGCTGAGTTTTAATCTCACTCAAGTAAGAAACCACCTCCTCACTGACACCAGCCTTTGGGAGGGGGCTGGGCCCTCTCTGAGTGCCAGAAATGGGTCCTTCCCCCCGATCTGTCCCTGGACCTCATAATTCTAGATCCTCTCAAGGGAGTAAAATTAAATACCAACCTTAGTGTTAAATGCAACCTATGATGCCTGTCCTGGAGCAGATCTTTGACAATGAATGTTCCAGAACCCAGTAAATACATCTGAGGAAGAGTGGGGAGAGAAGGCATTAGTACGCTTGCTTTGCTTCTGGTCCAAATACCAGGCCCCAGAGGAGTCCAGCAGGCTGGTTCCCACAACACATCTGACCCTATCTCAGGAGCCCAACAGGGATGCTCAGGAAGAAATTCCTAAAGACGAATACATTTGGACATCAGTGACTTTATGAGCAAAGTAGTGAAGTTAATCTGTGTTCACCTCTCACTCAGATGATTACAGAACTTAAAAAAAGGGAACAAAATCCCATGAACCACAACGTGTTACTTAACTGTTCCCTGAGATCGATCTTTGACATCATACACGGAGAGTTTGATTTGGGTCATCTGATTGATAAGAGAGTCTTGAAAGAAGGCAATACTGCTTAGAAATATAGGATTGTTGGTTCCCTAGAAGAGAAAAGAGAATAAAATCAGAATACAGAGTTGGGTTTTTCCAAGTAATTGCTTTGGAAACACATCAACATCTTCAAAATGAGACACTAACCTTCTTACTGACTTGGATCAACACAAACACTGATGGTGGCCTAAATGGATGCCTACAAACAAGCCCAAATCCTGCTTAGAGAAAGGACAAAGTAGTGTGACCGGCCTCTAGAGATGCAGCCACCACAGGCAGGCCCACCACACAGCCGCGCCCACGGGCTCACTCTAAGAGCTTCTCGCTCACTGGAAGAGATCCTCTAAAAGTGAAACGAGTTGGATGTCCACATTGTATTCTTGGTATTACCACTTTAAATGAGTGATGTATTTGGATCTCCTACTTTGGGTTGTTCTCCTTTAAGATGTACAAAGGCAGATGAGAGAAGAAATGAATGGCTTCAGTCGTTTCTTATTTCCAGAATCCCATGGATGGAATAATTAAGAACTGACCTTTTTAAGGCTATCCTTTTCAAAAGACGAGCTGTGAGTTTCTAGCTCATAGGTGGCCATTTCCTGGCCGGTTAGCCCTGCCCCCAGAGCCCCATAACATATTCTCTTTCCCAGGCAGTGCTTAACTATCTCAGCCAAATGGATTGAGTTCCTGTTTGTGCGTGACGTGGACTCCACGCCTCTAGCTATGCTCCCTCTGCAGCTCCAGATGCAGGCTCTCAGGGTCTGCTGGATGGCCCCTCCTGGGCAGCCTGCTGGGGTGGCAGCCCACCCAACCTCCCCCTCCATCTGCCCTTGGTTAAGGCCATCTCTGGCCCTCTTTCCAAGGAGGCTACAAATGTCTGCTTTGGTGCCTCTTTCTCCAACATTCTCAACCACCTAGTGACAATGAACTGCTCCCACAAACCCACCTCCAGGGCCTGTCACATGCACCCCTTTTATCCACTGCCAGTGAGGTCCTACACACTCCCCCCAGGTGATTGTCAACTTGGGACCTCCCTGAAACACATCTAGTCAGGCGACTCCCCTCCAAAAGGCCTGCACTGGCCCGCTACAAACTCCTGGCCTGACGCTCCAGGCTTCTCTCCCTTGCTCCTCCACTTGGGCCTTTTGCACACATACAGCAGGATAAGGTTACTCTCCAAACCCACATGACGCTTTCCTGTTGCATGCCTTCGCGTGACTACCACAGAACTCTGGCGTGCTCTTCAACGGGTGGTCCCCAGACTGGCTGCATGGGCATCACCTGGGAGCTTGTGACAGCTGCAGAGTCCTGGGCCCCACCCAGATCTCTTAAGTCAGAATTTCACTAAGCACCACCAGACATAGCCTCTCCAATCCTCAGAGCTAGAAGGGCCCCCACCCCCCATGTGCTGCCCTCCTCTCTCTGCTCCACCCCTCCCCACACCAGCTGTATGGAGACAGACCATGCTCACTGCCTCCCCACCCACAGGATGGGCCTCTGAGGTGTTTGTATCATCCACGGCGCCCAGCACTGCACTCCATGGCGCAGGCAGTCCTCAGCAGATGCTTAGAAAACAAAACTGTTGATCTGAACTTGGAAGTAAGTTTCCAAGAGAATGAAAAACGGTGGCCTACGTTCCAAAATGTAAAAGGGGGAAGACAAGGAAATGCAGTTTAAGTTTGAGACTGCTAGGGAGGGGTTAGTTCACAGAGACGCTCACATCACAGCCAAAACCCTGCACAATCTTGCACAGATCCTATACTCAGTTTCATAACTTACATACAGTGCTCAATTACCTAAAAGGAGTTTGTAAAATTCCCAAGGTGAATGCACATCACTTAATTTAACGTAAAACGTAAATATAAAACACCCAATGCAAAAGGATGTAATAAGAAAGCCAATAAAAAGAGGGGTATGTCCAGTAAGAAGGCTGGTTAGTAGTTAACACTCTCCAAACTGTGATTAATGAACACAACTCTCCAAAAGCAGCAGCCAGATGACAATGAAGAATGGGACCTTTACCTCTTAAGAGGCAACAACCTTATAGGATCACTGTTCAAAGACAACCAGCCAATAGCTCATCAGTAACTGTAAAGGATATAGCAAATATAAATGCCACGCAGATGAATGTGCAGAGAAAGATCAATGTACTGAGGACCCGTGGAGTGGCAGCTACCAGCGCTCAGGTCACCTGCAGCCCTCCCATGGAGGCTACAAACACGGGGCGAGCCCCTCGCACAGCTCAGGGTCGGAGCCGGCAGCACCCACCTCGATGATCTCCGTCTGCGCGTGTTTCGTCCAGAATGCCTGAGGAGGGGTGGTGACGCTCACTGCTACAAAACTATTTGGTTTTCGATCTAGCGATGGAGTATGCAACTCACTGCAAGCTATGGAATCAAGATGGGAAACAAACAAGTCCTTTAAAATCAGCCTCTGGTTAGTTCTCGGTTCCAAGCACCCCCAGAGAAAGCAAAAAAAAAAGTCAGTGCCACCAAAGGGATGGGACGATTACACTGTCAGTCGTCATGTGGAGGTGATCTTTTACATTGGAAACAAGCTCTTCTCAATAGTCTAATGGCAGCGGGTCCTTTTGCTTTCATGGTGCATTTCACAACAGTGTGTTCGATTCAGTGAAATGGGATCATTTTTCCTGTGGGTCCCCTCCCCCCATCCCCCACAATCCCCCCCTGTCCCTTCCCCCTCCCCCCCTCCCCCACCCTCAGAACAGCAAAGGCCCTAAGTGCCAGTGGAAGACTGAGCTGTTCTGTGTCCACCAACTAGAACACAAAGCCAACAACCTCACACGGGGTCTGACCCATAATGTTAGACCTTAATAACTAACTGAGCTTCTAACCCATTGAGCTAACCAGCCACAGAATCAAGACACAGCTACACATGCCTGCATCCCATGGCTGTGGTGACTAGCCCTGAGCCGTGGTGCCCCGCTGGTCTCTGTGTGGATGTGTGTTGGAAGCAAATTTAAAAATCTGTGGCAGCATTAACAAAGGCTTTTGTTTTTTTTTTAAAGACGTCATTGCTCATTTATTCTCCTTATAAGACTCATACCAAATGCAAGATTACTAAAAATGTTACTTTTTGGAAGTAACAGTACCTTGTAGAACTGTTTCAGTTGGAAACTTTATTGTACTAATAAGCATTCTGAAATAGATAAGACTCAGATCATCCTAACACAGGAGTGACCCACAGGAAAAATGATCCCATTTCACTGAATCGAACACCCTATCTGTTGTGAAATGCACAATGAAAGCCAAAGGATCCACTGCCGTTAGACTATGATATGCTATTGATCGTAAGACACTTTTTGATCAAACAGTAAAACAGAAAAAAAAAAAAAAAACATATATCTCAGAACTGATGAAATACATGGTAAATCAAAGTTCAACACTGGTAGAAACAACTGCCTTTTTTGGAGGAGCAATAATGCTTCCCAGACTGCTGCAAGTCTCTGGTCAGTTTCCAGAAATCTAAAACTGACTATGACCATTTCTGCCAGTGTTCTCAGTGCCTTTATAGAGGAGAGGATCTTTGGAGGTCCTTATTCTGCCATGCCTGCCCTCATCATTCCCAATTTTTTAAATGCTCACTGGTGATTTAAAATGCAGAAATTGATTTTTGCTTCTGAAAAATAATTTTAGTTCTCTCTCCATTTGTATTAACTTCTCATGTGCCTTTATGAATTTTCACTATTTATTGGATATAATAAAATACAAAGAGCTTAGGTTTTCAATTCAATTAGTTTTGATAATCATATGCACCTGTACAACCATCACTTTGGTGATGGAGAACTTCTTCAAAACATCAGAGTAGGAATTTCCCCCTCATACTTCCCAGTCAATTCCCCAGCCTCTGCAACAAATTTCTGATTTCCATCACTTTGGTCTGTTCTTGAATCTACGTTGTTGTATGTACTGATAATCACTCTCTCTCTTTTTTAATTGATGAGTAAGATTCCATTGTATGAATGTATCAAAATTTATTTATCCATTCTGTTAATGGATATTGGGTTGTTTCTGGTGGTGAACCATTGTAAATAAAGGTGCTAAAAATATTCCTGTTTATGGCTTTTTGTGGATGTGCGTTTTCATTTCTTTTGCATAAGTACCTAACAGTGACATTTCTAGGTTATAGCAGAGGATATGTTTAACTTTGCAAGATGCTAACAGTTTTCTAAAGTAGTTGCACCATTTTATAATCCCATCAGCAATGGATCTGAGTTCCTGTTGTTCTGCATCCCCACCAACATTTGGTAGGGTTAGTCTTTATAGTTTTCTGATGGATGTGTTTGAATTTGTACTTCCATGATGATTAATGATGCAAAGCATTTTTTCACCACGTGCTTGTTGTTCCTTTTTATAACTTCTTTTGTCAAGAGTCTGCTTGAGTTTTTTGCTCATTTTTAAACTGAATTGTTGACTTTTTTATTGTTGATTTATGCGTATTTTATTCTGGACCTGTTCTTTCTCAGGTATATGTGTTGTGAATATTTCTTCCCAGTCTGTGGATTACCAATTTATTTTCTTACAGATCTTCAGCTTTGTTTGTTAGACTTTTAGTCTTAGGGAGTGATAGACAGGAAAACTGTCCCTCCCTCCAAGAGTATCCACATCCTAATCCCTGGAACCTGTGAATATATTACATTACAGGCACTATGGATGTGAGTAAGGTCATGGAACCTTGACACGGGGAGATTATTCTACATTACCGGTGTAGGCTTAACCACACAAGCTCTTAAAAGTAGCAGAGGAAGGTGGAAGGGTGAGTCAGAAAGATGTGACTATGGGGAAAAAAGGCAGGAGAGATTCAAACCATGAAAGGCATTCCACCTGCCATTGCTGGCTTTGAAGATGGAGGAAGAGGGTCACAAACCAAGGAATGTGAGCAGCTTTAATAAATGAGAACCAGCTTCACCTGGCTGCTAGCAAAGAAATGGGGATCTCAGTCCTAAAACCACACATACACACACCAAAAAAACCTAAATTCTGCCACAATATGAAGAGCAAAGAAACAAATTCTCCCCTGGCACCCCCGGAAAAGAACGCAGCCCTGCTGACACTTTGATTTTGGTGTTGTAAGACTCCAAGCAGAGACATCACTGAATCCACTGGATTTTTGACATAAGCAAACTATAAGATAATATGTGTTGTTTCAAGGTGTTCAATCTGTGGTAATCTGTTACGGCAGGGATAGCAAACCAAAGCACAGAGTTAGGACTTTTTGCACTCTGTCCAAGAAATCTTTGCCTACCCTGAGGTTGGGAGTGACCCTCTGTTTTCTCCTAGAAGTTTTAACGCTTTGTTCATTTTAAAGGTTCTCTTCTATTTCTTCTGCTAGGTCTGCCTCAGCAGGAGTCAAGGATTTGACCATTTCACTTGCTCCCCCTCCTTTAAGCTATGTGTTTAAGTGACTGAGGGCCTGGTTTTTCTCAGCTCGCCCCTTCATCACGTGTGGGTTCTTAACACCCACGTGAAGCTGGAACATTTGGGTCTCTCAAGCACAAGTGACAGCAGACAGACTGAGGTATAACAGGTGGCCAAAGCCGGGAAGACGGGTGTCAGGTTAAGGGCTAATGGGCTAAGTGCCACCTTCAGAACACACCCTCCTGTAGGTAACTGCTCTCCAGCCCCGACCCCCAGCCGGCTCAGGTTAAGTCTCACTCAGTGTTTATTCCTAGCTCAAGGGCCACGGCTTCCAAGACGCTTCCCCTCAGCAGTCCACAGTCACCTGCCCTTTCTGTCACTTACATCGCTTTGGCAAACTTCCAGAGAAGCCATGAGTCTCTGGCACGTATGCCTTGTCTCTCCAACCAGATGATCTGTAATCCCAGCTGGGTAAGTGCTGTCGACGAGGCAAAGCAGTAAAATGTATTTTAAGTACATATCCTTTGACTTGGCAATTCTGTATCCAAGCATTTATCCCGAGGAAATAATCAGCAAAACGTGTTAATGATCTATGTACAAGTATGTTCACCGTGGTGGTGTTACTAATGGCAAATTGGAAAGAACCTAAAACGTCTGACAACAGGAAACGGATTGCAATAAATATGGCACAGCCACACAGTAGAGTCTACATAGGCATCCAAAGTGATGGGGCAGATCCCGTGTTTATTACAATGAAAAGATGCCCATGACATTCTGTCACATAAAAAAAAAAAAAAAACGTTAAGCATACTAGCATGACACGGGGCGCCTGGATGGCTTAGACAGTTAAGCGTCTGCCTCCGGCTCAGGTCATGATCCCAGGGTCCTGGGATCGAGTCCCGCATCAGGCTCCCTGCTCAACGGAGAGTCTGCTTCTCCCTCTGCTCTTCACCCTACTTGTGTTCTCTCTCGTTCTCTCTCTCTCAAATAAATAAATAAATAAAGTCTTTAAAAAAAAAGAATACTAGCATGACATTTTTGTAGATAATCCCATCACCTCCACAGGCAAAAAATCATTAAAAATTCTGTAGAGCAGTGGGTGGGTGTAAAAAAAATATTTCTGGAAGGATCTACACCAAAATGCCAACTGTGATTATCTCTCTCTGATAGGGTATTCCCTTCCTCTGACATTTTCTCTATTACAGGTTTTAAAATGAGCACTTTTTAATTTTAAACTTAAGATAAAATATTTGACTATTCAATCCTGGGCTCCTGTTCCTCTTCTTTTTTTTTTTCATTGTGGTAAAAATCACTTAAAATAAAACTTCAAGCCGTTTCTTCCCCTGTGTGCCTCATTCAAATGGCTATCGTACTGTCCTTGATTTGCCAGAATCAGAACTATCCTGATTTCTGTCACAGGGGTGAAGATTTTTACCGATGTGACGTCAACTCTCATCCTGTCTCTACACTCAATCGGTTTAGTGGGAATTTTGCTGTTGTTGTTGTTAAATCCCTGTTCTGCATTAGTAAAGCTCAGTGAATATTATTACAAGCCAAGTGGGATTTCTTTCACTTCTCTCCTGTGTTGGGCCCTGTTTCTTGGGTCCCACATCTTCCTTTTTCTCAATTTGCTCCCTGTTTTCAGTGGAACATATCCTCCACTCGCTTCCAGAGAAAGGATGTGGGAGAAGTAAGTTTGAGAGTCTGCAAAGCTGAAATAAGCTTCTTTCTCCCCTCACATCTGACTGAGTGTCTGGTTGAGTAGAGAATTCCAGATTATAAATATTTTCCCAGGCACATTAAAGGGCTCCTCCCCATCCTCAAGTTCCCAGGGTCGCTGAGAATCCCCTCCACACTAGTTTGACCCCGATCCTTGGATAGGACCTCTTTTGTTTCTTTCCCCCTTTCTGGAAGTTTGAGGAGCTTCATTTTATTCCCAGTGCTCTGAAATTTCTTCAGGACATGCCTTGTTCTGGGGCTTTTCAATCATTATGCTGGGCCTTGGTAGGCATTTTTGGAAACACAGTTTTCAGTTCTGACAGACTTCTTATCTTATTTCTTGGTAATTCTCTCCCTTCCACCCTTTTCTGTTTCCCCCTGTAAATGTTGGGCCTCTGAATTTGCTAATTTTCCATTTCAATTTCTCTCCCATTTTCTATTTTGCTTTAAAATTTTTACTTTGGGGAATAATTCTTTAAATATCTTCCAACATTTTTTGACTTTTTAATGTATTTTTTAAAGTCCTATTTTAAATTTCTAAGATTGCCCTTGTTCTTCAATTTTTTTTTTTTTAACAGCATCCTGTTCTTATGTTACAGGTGTGCCATCTTCTCTTGAGGATATAAATTATAATTTTTTGACGTTTTCTTCTACTTTCTTCAATGTCTGTGTTTCTTCCAAGTTCTGTTTTTTCCTGCTTCTTCTTTCATGTGTGGCCTTTCACAAAGGCCTTTAATCTTTAACTATTCTTACATTTTGTTTTAAATCAAATTTGAGGTATTTATATATAAAATGTGCCCATTTTAAGTGTAGAGCTCAATGAGTTTTGACAAGAGTTTACATCCATATAACCACCACAGTCAAGATATAGAACATTTCCATCGCCCAAAGGGTCCCCTGTGCTCTTTCCAGTCAGTCCTCACCAGCACTCCTGGACAACCAACTGACGGGTCTTCTGTCATTGTGGATTAGTCTTCCTGAGTTCCACATAAACAGAATCATAAATACACATCTGAATATGGCTTCTTCCACTCTGCACAATGCTTTTGAGATTCATCCACATATGTATCAGTACCTCATTCCTTTTCCTTGCTGGGTGGTACTCCATTGTATGCCATGTACCATAGTGAATTCTCCTGCTGATGGATATGTGGGGTTGTTTCCAGTGTTGGCTATTATGAATCAAGCTGCAATCAGCATGCATGTACTAATCTTTATATGCACAGAAGAATGCCCATTCATTTTTAAGAATGAAGTATCAGAAGGCTGAGTGTGAGGGTGGGCTGGATGGGCTCCACTACAGTGCCTGGGTAGCTGGCTGGCCTACTTTCCGCCGGGGGTCCAGAAAGCCGCATCTGCCTCTTTGCAGGGAGTGGCAGTGAGTGGTTGACTTTCTCCAGAGTGAGAGCCTCCTGCCTGGAAGAATAAGCCTGGCCAAATTAGGATAAGAGGAAGAAGGCTGGGGAGGGCCAAGTAGGGGGTTTGTTATTCAGTAGACTTCTGGCCCTTTACCATGCTCTCCTCCGTGCTGATGGACCTCAGCCCAAAGCCTCTCTGCCTCCCAAGTTTCTTACGAGAATAACCACCAGTCCCTGCAGGACTGAGAGAGTATGGTGGGAATCTGAACCCCAAACTCTTCCTTACACAAACTTTCCAATAAGCCCCTGCTTTAGTCTCTGAACTCCCCAGTATCTCTGGGACAAATCCACCACCCTCACAGACAAGCAAGTGTGACCACACTCCTCTCCATCTGCTCCCTCCTCCTCATGGGTTACATTTTGGGGGTTCCAGAAATGTCTCACTGCACAGAGTGTGTGTTTCTGTTTCTTATTCTTCCTGGCGTTTGAGATGATTTAAGACAAGGGGGTGGAAATTTCACTCTTCTCTTGTGAAACTGGAAGTCCTTGAGTTAGTATTACAATTTGTGAAGAGCAAGAAAGCTCTAGGTTGGGAGTGGGCAGCTGTGGGAATCCCAGCAGGGTTACAGGCTGCTTCCCCCAACCCCCTGTTCCCAGTTCACAATGCAGGACTCCCTCCCACTACAGAACTAGCCAGCAAGCCAGGGTTGGGAAACCCTCTGAACTTGTTTAGGGACATTCAGTCTGAAATGGGGATGTTTTCAAAGTTTAGTATTAATTTGATAATAATGCCCTTACATTTTTAAGGATTTTTGTCATTAGGCAAAGTTGTTTGTCTGCTTTTGCTTTGTTTTAAGCACCATAATCTTCGTTGTCTCTCAAATGGTAACACCCCTTATAGCACATGAGGAAACTGGTCCAGCAAGGTCAAGCAGCAGGTTCAAGGCCATGCAGTTAGTTTGTGGCATGGTCTGGACTAGAATCCTGGTTATCTGACTCTTGAGGAGGTGCTCCTTTTATGTCATACCACCTCCTGGACACCATGGCCAGGCCACAGGCCAGTGCTAACCACTGCCCAGGGGATGAGGGAAGGGGAGAGGAACACAGGATAGTGTCAGGCTCTGGAGGAAAACCGTCTGTGGCTGACCCCACCAGGCACTCCGACCTTCTGGATAAGCCACAGTAATGCTGTGCTTCCCTGATCCCAGGGCCAGCACATTCTACTACAGTTTCTTAGGACAACTTTAGGGATTCAAGCCAGTATTTAGGACATTCTGACGCTGCCCGAAAGGGAAAGCGCTAGCTGTCACTGCCTCCACCATTCCCAGAGCAGGGAACAAGGGGCCTTATGGCTAGGGCCTTATGGCTGGGGCTGACAACACTGGCCCTGAGCCAGTTTTCCCACCCCTCCTGCCCTCCCCTAGGAGTAGGGAAGCCGTCCTTGCAGCTTTTGGGTGCTTACCTCCCACCCACCCCCCAACCACGGCCAGCCTGGAGGGAACGTATGCTGAGGAGACCCAAGGCCTATGGGCCCCAGGTTCCCTCCCACACTGGACATTCACACCTGCCTCATGGCTTCATCTCAGAAACACTTTGGCAGCAACAAGTTCTCGGATACAAATTTATGTCAGGGTCCAGTTTTTGTTTTTAAGCAACATACATTTTAAAACAAACAAAAAATTCAAAAAGATACCTACCTAAGCTGAATTCTAAAATGGGCTCATCTGGATCTTGTATATTTCCTGAATAAAAAAGAAATGACCAGGGGGAGGGGGGAGAATCACCCTTAATAAACTTTTCCTTGCATTTAGATTTTATTTAAAAGACCCAACATTCTACTCCCCTCACCAGAAGCTATTATATGAGATAATTTCTTCATTTTCTAAACATTTTGCTTCTGAGATTCCTAAGAAGTCTCAGACTCCAAGACCAAACGCCCCCCTCCCTTCCTCAGCTCTGCACACCCCCAACAAGAAGGACTTTGATCATGGCCTGGGCACTTGCCAAACAGGCACTTGCCAGACGGGCACCGTGGACATTCCCATATCACCTACTGGCAAATGAGCTGTGGGGGTGCCCACCCAAGCTGGAAAACTGCCAGCAGTCAGGCTGCAATGGAAGCAGTTCCCAGGAAGGGGGCTGACAGCCCCTCCCTCCCCATTCCCTGATTCAACCAGAAGAATGCCATAGCAGGGTGCCCTCCAGCCTGGGGCAGTCACTGGGGGCTCATTCTGGGAGTCCAGGAGGCAGGCATGGCCCTCCCAGCACTGTTATTTTGCGGGACCTGTGTCTGGTGACCTTGCCCCAGGAACCTGGAGCGGGCCCCGTGAGGCTCACCTGCCAGAGAGAGGCCCAGCATGTCGGCTGCCACATCAATGGTGGAAGCCCGCTGCATCGCACGGGCCCTGGCCCCATGGCGAGGGCTGTGCTCTCTTGCTGTCATGATGTCATTGGTGATGGTGTGCTTCCTGTTCCTGGGTCAGACCGCGCCTGATTCCCCGGGAAGCGCTGTCACCAAGACCTAGTCCCCTAAGGTGGCAGGAGTCCTGAGAAAGAGGCACAAACACTGGTAAGAAACACAGGGACGCGGACTGAGAGACTGTGCTCTCGTGGAGAGAGTGTGTGCCCAACACGGGCAAGCGAAGAGCCGGGGGCGGAGAGTGTGATGATCTCAGCCCCTTCTAGCGACCTCTTCCTCTACACTCGCCAATGCTCACACGTGCCACCAACACATATGCCCATGGCATCACGTAAGGAAATCACGTTCTCTTCAATGAAGACATGCCACGTTAAATGATGGTTTAGATAAAATGATAAAAGATGGCTCTTGACATTTTCTCCTTTGTTTTATTATGCTCTTCTGTTCACAAGTCTCATAGAATCTGTAAAGTTAAATCACTTCACCTCTGTCAGAAGGATATGAGATGCATGAAGAGGTCTGCCCCCACTGGCTATGACAGCATGGTGGAACACTGGAGAGACGAAGGCACATGTCTCCAACCTGCTCTCTCTCTTCCCAGAGCTACAGAAACGTCACATGTGTCTTGGGCTTGGGCTTGCTTTCCTATAATACATGTGCATGTAATCTATGCCTGACTAAAGTGGATAGTGCTGTGTGCGATGGATAAAGAAGTCTCTGGCAAAGTGCCACCATGCACTGAATCAGATGCCCTGCATGGCACAGAACACACATTGTACTCTAAGAAGTGGGTTAAGCAGCAAGAAGTGAGTTTCATGTTTTTCTAGCCCTCTATGCGACAATTCCTGCTGTCTCTAGAGGAACCAACCTTGAGAAGTGAAGATAATTAGACTGTACAATAAGGCTGGTTTAAAACACTCCTTACAAAGGTCTCCATGTATGCAGAGACTCTTGTCTTCTCAAAGTGTGTCAACACCTGTGCCCCTGAAGGGCCTCTGTTCCCACTCTTGAGTTAATATTCACCCAGCAACTTACTGGACATGTTTGTTCTTGGACCAGTTGAGACACGTGGCATTTCTTCATAGAAGCACGTCCAAATCCATCATCTAAAAATAGAAAATTGTAAACTTAACAAGCTGGTCAAACATCAGTTCTTGAGAATGCGTATTATAATACTCATGTTATATTTTTAATGCCTAGACATATGGGAATGCAAGAGCTACTATAAGTTCCTTTGAGTTCCACACAACAATCTAACCTTTTGGCTCAAAAGTAAAGGTTTTGCTGAAGCCCAAAAGAATGAGAAACAGAAAGTGCACATTCCCATTCGTCCCCCTCCCCAGGAGTGATCCAGGGAACATAGACCAGCTCTAAAGCACCCACAGTGTGGCTGGGATGTGGCTGAGGGAGAATGAGGAGAGAAGAATCTGAGTCCCAGGCGTCCTCGCTCACAAACGTCAGGCTCTGGAAGAAGCTGCTGGGCCCCTCTGAGGCTCTGCTTTCCGGTGTCTAAGATGAGGCTAGTGGTACCCATCTCACAGGGCTGCAGTGAGAACTAAATGTGCAAAAATGGAACAGGGATCTGCCCTGCTGTGGCTGCCTGGCCCTTGGGTGCCTTCCTGCGGAGCAGAATACCCAGGCTCTCACTCAGTCCTGGGGGACAGTCAGAGTAGACCTCAGGACCCAGCATGTGAGCTACCTGAAATTGCTGGAGTCTGGGGTAGAGGCAACAGGCAGAGCAGAGTGCTTGGCCCTCAGGCAAACTCAGTTTCTCTTGCAGGCTGAGCTCCTACCCCTCCCACTGGAGCACCTAGGTATCTGTAGCCTGGGCACCTCAGCAGAGAAGTCAGTGGCTCGGCTAGAGAGTCACAGTAAAAGTCTCCAAGGGGAAGACCCACCAGTTTGCTGACATCAAAAGGCACACAGAGTCAAAATATGCAATGAAAATGGTAAAGACAGGGAAAGTACTTGCAGTACTAATATCTGAAATTTATAGTAATGCTTGTACAAATTGACAAAAAAAACTCACTAAAAATGCAAGTGGCAAAGGTATGAATTCAGAAAAGAAGAATACAGGTTGTAAACGTTTTGGAAAAGTGACCAAACTCATTCCTAATAATTAAAGGAATGCTAAATACTCCTATATTCACCTAAAGTAGTCTTCCAAGAGAGGTTTGTTCTTCTCATGAGACTATGCTTTGTTGGCAGACCTAGGGGAAACTCTATAGGATTCCTCTATATTGCTGATAATATTTTAAAGTGGAACATGCATTTCAGAAATTTATTTATCAAATTATTTATCACATACCAAAATTTATAAACAAAAAGAAAATTCTTGCCAACAGGCCAAAGATGCTTATTGTAGCATTACTTGTAATGACAAACACTGGAACCAATCTAAATGCCCGGCTACATGTAAGTGCACTCTGGAACATCTATAATATGTGCTATTACATGGCTGTTTAAATGACCATGATAGGGGCGCCTGGGTTGCTTAGTCGTTAGGCGTCTGCCTTCGACTCGGGTCATGATCCCAGGGTCCTGGGATAGAGGCCCACATCGGGCTCCCTGCTCTGCGGGAAGCCTGCTTCTCCCTCTCGCTCTCCCCCTGCTTGTGTTCCTGCTCTCACTGTCTCTGTCAAATAAATAAAAATCTTTAATTAAAAAAAACGATCAAGATAAAGTTAATCAACACATGACAATTTCTTCGACCTCCTTAGGGATCAGGAAACCACTAATTACAACCACAGGATACCTCTGTACACTCATTAGAATAACTAAAAATGGGGGGAAAAAGGCAATCCTCAAGTCTCGGTGAGGATGTGGAAGAAACAGAACCCGAGACACTGCTAATGGAGGGTAAAATGGTGCAGCCACGCTGGAAGACTGGCAGTATCTACCCAAGCTGAATGCACACCTCCACCGCGACCCAGTATACAGCTCAGAGTGGAACTGCTAACAGAAATGCACATTTATGTTCACAAAGGTATAAAAAACATTTAGAGCATAACGTTCATAACAGTCAAACACCGGCAACAATCCAGACGTCCATCAGCTGTAAACGAAACAAGATGGCTTTTAGAAAAGATGTCAAGGGGGAAAGCCAGTCACATGAGCGCGTATCTAGGCAATTCTATTTCTACAAAGTTCAAGCACAGGCCAAACGAGTCCGTGGTGTTAGAAGTCAGGACAGCGGTATCTTTGAGGGGTGAGTACTGACTGGGGAGGGCACATGGGGCCAGAGGAGGCTGTGGGCTCTGGTAATGCTCTTGTCTCCTGTTTTGAGTGCTGGTTTCAAGACTGAATTTACTGTGTAAAATTTTTTGAGCCGGACATGATTTTTTATACTTCAATAAAAAGCTTAATTATTTTAATGACTATAATAAAGACAACAGCATGAAAAAACGTTTATGTCAGCTCTGTGCCATGTTCTAATGAAATATTCTACCTGTGTTCTGGTCACAGTCATTTAAAAAGATAGGACACAGGGGCACCTGGGTGGCTCAGTCATTAAGCGTCTGCCTTCGGCTCAGGTCATGATCTCAGGGTCTTGGGATCGAGCCCCACATCGGGCTCCCTGCTCACCAGGAAGCCTGCTTCTCCCTCTCCCACTCCCCCTGCTTGTGTTCCCTCTCTTGCTGTGTCTCTCTCTCTCTAATAAATAAATAAAATCTTAAAAAAAAAAAAAAAGATAGGACACAGATTGGGGTGCCTGGGTGGCTCAGTTGGTTAAGTGCTTGACTCTTGACTCTGGCTCAGGTCATGATCTCAGGAGCGTGAGATCAAGCCCTATGTCGGGCTCCATGCTCAGCAGGGTGTAGCTTGAGATTCTCTCTCTCTCAATCTCCCCCTCTGCCCCTCCACCTCTCTCTCTCTCTAATAAATAAATAAATTTTAAAAAGAAAAAAAAGATAGGACACGAGGGAAAGAGCCAGCAGGAGACATGGAGAAGAAGCCATATTTGGGGGTGTGACCATGGGGAACTAGTCCCTTTCTTAGCTTCAGGTCATCCTCTTGCGGGACTGGCCACCCCATGCTGGCCAGAGGCAGAGGCGGCACCCTGCGTGTGAATCAGCTTGAGGAAGGAACTCTTCTTTCTGAGCTTCTCCCGTGTGTCTCCAGCATTCCACTGCCCTGCCTGGCTGCCCGGCTCAGCCTGTAGCGAGGCTGTGGTCACTCCCCTGCACCTGGGCCAGTGCAGACATGCCACGTGACAGAAGGCAACTGTACCCCGACTACCTGCCAGTCCAAGGGAGGCTCCCAAACGTCCTCCCCTCCCTCACCCCCAACATCCTCCCCTTGCAGGGCCCCTGCCCCTAGGAGGGCGGAGGGTATCAAAGGCATCCTGGGGATAGAAATGCTTAAAGGGGAACATCTACAGACTAATTTTACATTTGATCGAGTTCACAGACCAGAGAAGCTTTTGGGTCAAGAGGACCTCAGAAGCCACTTCATGGTTATCTGGGGCATTTAATTAGGATCTGCAATTTAAATCATCAAGACCCAAAACATGGATCTGATGTGCGCCACTGAACTCGATTTTCCTTATTAGTCTCATTAATTTAAAGTAATTCACCAAGGATTCTTACATTCCCAAGGTCCCTGGTTTTCCTCTTGGCCCCATTTGAAGACCAGAGCTCATTAGGAAGAAAAACTGCACTTACATCTAAGAGGACAGATAGTGTGTGGGAGTTGTTCAGGGGACTGGAATTTTTTTCGTGGGGGCAAGAACAAAGAAAGAAGCAAGAACTCATAAAACTAACTGCCTCTTCTCACTCTGTGAGAGACGTGTGACCCTTTCTGACAAGAGGACACAGATCATCAACTCCACAGCAAACCTGGTCATGTCCCTTCCACCTGTGTGGGGGCGGGGGGATGATGGTAGAGGAGCATAAGCAAGACAGGAGGGATGTGGTGGTTCACACAGGTCCACGGGATTCGTGGCGGGTGGCAGTTCACTGTCAGAAACCTCTCAGGAAGCCAGTCTTGGAAAAGGTCTGCCTGCCCTCTTCCTCCACAGAACAAGGGCTCCTGGAGGCCCCCTCTGGCTCAGAAACCTCTTAGGGCTGCTGAGCTGGAGCTGAGTGGGGAGGACTAGCCACAAAATTTTCCATTTTCATCTGTCTTATGCAATGGGGGTTCTTCAGAGAATAATCTGAAAATGGAGTTGCATGGATGATGCCACAGAAGTCCAAACAAGGTGACTTTCTCAAGGTCACATGGAGATAAAGGATGAACTATCAGAATCCACCCAAAGCAAAAAGCCCAAATACAACTGGGGCATTCTCCCTGCCCAGCCTACCCTACCACTGTCACCGTGGACAGGAAACGGGCTCCCAGCAAACCTTCCCCAGGCCTCCGCTCTCCAAACACAGGCAGCACAGGAGAGAAAGTCAGATGGAAGGCCTAAGTGAGTCAGAGCATGAATCAGCAGCCCCTGAGGAGGAGGCTACTACAGGAGTCAGAAAGAGGAAGGGTTTTCTCTCAAAAACCCCCAATCCAGGATAGCCACAATCACTGATGGAGGAGGCATCACACTGCTCACTGGCAGATCACTACCAATAGCAACCTGAGAGAGACAGCTGCCGCCTTCTGCACGATGCCCCTCCTGCAGACAGTGCCCAGTAGCCAACGGTTGTGCCTCAGTCTCCCTAACACGGCAAGCCAGTCTGGACCTCAAGATAACGCACCTCCTGGTGTGACCGTGGGATGAGCAGTGGGTCACCTTGTGTCTTATGAATGACAGACTTAAGCTCCTTGCTTCTTCCATTTCCTCCTGGGTGCCTCATTCAAGTCTAAACATAGACCAGGGGTCTAGCAAACACCTACTAAGTAAACAAACTGTCAGCTTCTGTGGCAGACTGGCCTTGCTCCCCAGAGTCTGGCCTTTTCCTTTCTCCCGGTACACTGACGGGTCACCCTCTCCAGCCCCCTTCCAGTTTGGCGCAGCTCTGTGACAGAGAGTGGAGGGATGAACACCAGCTGAGATAAAAGTGGGAAAGCTGCTCATGGGGTGCTCCAAGTCTCCCTTCCCCCAGACTCCTGGCTGGACGCAGGGGACTGAGTGAATAATTCCAAGGCCCAGGGTAAGGGGGTGACTCCATGG